CAAAGATCTGAATATTAAAACAGAAACACTAAATCTATTGGAAGACAAATTAGGTAGAAACCTTGAAGACATAGGGGTAGGTAGAGAATTCATGAACAGGACTCCAACTGCATGGGAAATACTTCCCAGAATCAATAACTGGGACTACCTCTTATTAAAAAGTTTCTGTAAGTCAAAAAAAATCTCCAGCATAGTGAAAAGAAAACCCACAAATTGGGAAAAGATCTTAGTGAACTCCCCCTCAGACAAAGGACTTTTGTCTAAAACATATAAAAAATTTTTAAAAATTAGACCCCCAAAATTCAAAGACCCAACCCAAAAATGGGCATCTGAGATGAATACACACTTCTCAGAGGAAGAAATACAAATGGCAAATAAATACATGAAAAAATGTTCATCGTCATTGGTTATTAGGGAAATGCAAATTAAAACCACACCGAGATTCCATCTCACTCCTGAAAGAATGGCCAGGATCAAGAAAACCAACAACAACAAGTGCTGGAGAGGCTGTGGGGAAAAAGGAACTCTCCTACACTGTTGGTGGGAGTGTAGACTGGTACAACCTTTGTGGATGTCAGCAGTCTGGAGATTTCTCAAAAAGCTGGGGTTGGAAGTCCCATTTGTTCCAGCTATTCCACTTCTAGGCATCTTCCCAGAAGAACTGAAAGCATCATACCACAGTGATATATGCGCACCTATGTTTATAGCAGCACAATTTGTAATTGCCAGATCTTGGAAACAACCCAAATGTCCATCAACTGAGGAATGGATAAAAAAGCTGTGGTATTTCTATACAATGGAGTACTACTTAGCTATAAAGAAGGATCACATTGAGGTATTTATCAATAAATGGGCGCAGCTTGAAACCATAGTCATAAGTGAACTAAATCAAACTCGCATCAGTGAACATCGAATAGTTTCCCTAGTGTAGGAAATGATTCAAATATATAAAAGTACGTGATAACCATGATTCCCCATTATATGGCCTTGAAGCCTTATAAAATTTTCACTCATTAATTGGAATGGCTTTATTCTGGGCTGTTTGATATTATGGCCTGTGATGCAATGAACAGCTACTTGGAAGAAAATAAGACATAATAATAGCTAGTGCTGATTTAATACCATCTTGTCTTAAAGCCGCACCAAACTATGGCTCTTCTGTCTCCATTGATTTTATCATGTTGTAACTTGCTGGATTTTATCGTATGTGGTAGTATAAACAAAAATTGTTATAGACAAAGAGATAATATAGAAACCATTGATCATTTTTTCTGTTAGCTGGTTCTAAATACTCTACAATCATCCACTTGAATGGTGTTACACAGTCTTGATATGTTTGATGCTATAGCATATGAAGTTATATTCAAATATTTCAAAGAAAAAGACACTATGGTAACTACTATTAAGTCAGGTTATTTGGTAGTGAAGCACTAGGTTGCTGAAAGTGTCATGCTTTAACCCATATTGTTATGTTGTTATGCCCCCTTTTATCTCATCGTTTCCCTTATTCATTAAAAAATTATTTAATTTTTTAAATTCCTTCTTTAAACCAAGGGAAAAAAATCAAAAATCTAGCAGGATATGTTATAGTAACTTTTTTGATTTCCTATCAACTTGAAGTCCTGTAATACCCCCGTTATCTTGTTTTGACTGATTAGACTCTATTCTGCTCTGTATGAAAGTATCAAGTATCAGAGTATAGGCAACTACTATAAAGGCAATAAGATTCACTATGATGCCCATTCTGGTTTGACTATTATCCTCTTTTGAGGTGCTGTAAGACTTACAAAGTTTAGATATTTTATTGGTCTTGTTCTCTACTGTTATGTTTAACTCTATAATACCTAAAGAGATAGACAATTCTTCTTAAGGAAGCAAGAGGCATTATGGTAACCATTGTTGATAACCTTGTACTCTGTTTTTACATCATGTGCTATGTCTTTCCTTGGTTTTGACTGACAGCTTTGTTTTATCATGCTTGATTTTATTCTCTTACAAAAAAAAGTAATAAGATCTAAGGGAGCAATAAAGTCCAAAATGTGTAAATTTTGTTGTAATAAAGAGAGGGAAAGAAAAGTGCCCTGAAGGATACAACAGCAAGGGTGTTTAGGTGTGTTGCTTAGAAGACCATATTAATAGTTTGGATTGGATTACTGAACACAACTGCTTGCAGTCTCACTGTTTGAATGTTCGCTTTGTGTGCTTTGATCCTGTGACCTGAAACACCATTTCTAAGGTGATAGCGAGTAATCTATTAACTGGTGATAGCTTACTGTTTTTTGTTTTTTTGCTTTTCTGTAGTTCTGAATTACTTGTACCCTTATACTGTTTTGTTTGTTCTGCTTTTTTTCCTCTTTTTCCTTTTAAATAAAATATTAAAAAAAAAAGAAAACTACTAAGCTTTGAGAATAACATTTTCTAATAGAAATTCCTGCAATGATGGAAATATTTTATAATTCTGTGCTGCTCAACATAGTAGCCACTAGCTGCACATGGTACTGAGTATTAATGAGATTAAAGAACTGAATTTTAAATTTCTCTTAACTAAATTTTAATTAATCTAAATTTAAGTAGGCATATTTGGCTCCGGGCTGCACATTAGACAGTGTACTTCTAGAAGAAAATATTGAAGAAAATCTTTGTGCCTTTGGTTTAGACAAAGATTATTTAACACACAAAATTCATAAGACAAAAGAAACCATTGATAAACTGTGCTTAATAAAATTTCTTAAGTTTCTGTTTTTCAAAGATATAAGAAAATGAAAAGTCAAGCAACAGATACAGCAAATAGTTGCATATATCTGATCACCGATCCTTACAATTTTAAAATAAGAAAACAATACAATTGAAAGATAGAAAAAATATTTTAACAGACTCTTCACCAAACAGATATGCATAGCAAATAAATGCCTGAAAATACATGCAACATTGTTATTCTTTAGAGAAATCCAAATTAAAATTATCTTTGGTGAGCTTAATTCCTCCTGACTGGTGGGGACAGAAATTTTAATGAAATACATAGGAATAGACCTGAAAACTTGGATTGCTGATGTGGTGCTATGGGAACCTGTACTGGAGACAAGGAATGTCACCTAGTTGGCACAATATGGGGACATAGTAGGCATCTCTGAGGTAGTGACGATGATGCTGAGGTTGAACAGTGAGGAGAGTTACTATGCAGAATATGGTGGCTGATACTTCCAGAACATGAAATAACCTGATGCCAACCAAGAGAGTTGATCCTTCCAAGCCTGAGAGGTAGAGAGGTGGGTGGCGGACCCTTAGGTCTCGATGTAGCAGAACCTGTGGGTACTTGAGAGCTACATATGGGGCTAGAAGATCACAGAAGACCGCAGTGTGACACCAGCTATCATAAGTTCTTAGCCATCACTATGGTCTGCCCTTTTCTTCAGGACTCTCTAAAAAGGAGCATCCTTGTACCAGCTTCCAAGATGCTACCGATCACGTATGGGTTCTTGCTCATATAGAAATCATGAACTGGCAGAGTGTAGCTCTTTCAGTGTCGGCAGCCCTCCTAGTCACTCGGCCACCAGCCACCAGCCACCAGCAGGTCTCAAGAACCTCTTCTGGCTACCAGAGGTGGCAGCTCCCAGCAATCTTTCATTATTCTCTGTTGTTCTCTGCTGCTTGCTTTGGGCACCAGTGGCCTCTGACATTTGTAGCTATGTGTGTACCAACTCAGTGTGCCCTCCTTGAGATAGAAATCATGAATAGGCAAGAGTATGCCTCGAGGAAGAGGCTTTATTGGGACTATGTTGCCACCCGAGGCGAAACAGTGCAGATGCTGAACTCAGGGTATAGGGAGGTTGCTTATAAAGAATAAATGCAGGCTCACACATGTGCAGCATCAAGTTTTCTGTGTGGCCACAGGGAGGGGCGGAGCTCTTTGGGGGCCTGCACGAGGGAGGTTGCAGTGGGGAAAAATCATCCAGAGGCTGCCGTACAGAGTCAGGTGGGCTGGGCCTGTGCCTGAAGCCTGCGGCTGATGCAGCCAGGCTGGCTGCAGGGCGTTCAGGGCAGCACAGAATAAAAGCATTTCTGGGAGGCCCTTATCTCATCTCACAAGGGGCTCTGTCCTTCCACCTTCATATATGTGAAGGGCAGTGAAGGACTGCCACATGGTGGTTAATGCAAAAAGCAATGGGGACATAGCACGTGCAGAGCTGGTATATGTCATGGACCTAACATGAAGCACTTAGGTTCAAACCTCAGGGTTACCATTAACAGCTTTGTGTCTTGACCAGTTACTTGATTTTTCCAGGCCTCCATTTCCCCACCTGTCATGTGCGGATAACAGCACATATTTCATCAGGGGGCGGGGCAATTTAAATGTTAATATATGTGAAGAGTCTAGCACAAAGCAAGCACTGTGTACTATGAGAAAATGGAACAGCCAGATATAGGGCCTACCCAAATTTCTTGTAAATTTCCGTAAGGAGGCAGGAAAAAGAAAGCTCAAATTGGGCAGAATTTCCGGCCAAACTGTGGGGCGTGGTTGAAATCTGAGTGTGTGTGTGTAGGGGGCAATGTAAAATCTGTGCCCTAAGTTCTCCAAGTTCTGGTCCATCTGGGGTCCACAACCATTATACTCCAGGCAGAGCTGTGCTGGCCCCGCGCAGGTGCAGGGCCGCGGGCAGATCTCTGCAGAGCAGCTGAGCCCAGTGCAAAGGTTCAGGCACGAATCCCCGGGTTGGAGAGGAGTTTGGGTGGGCAGCCAGGAACCACCTTTCCGTGTCGCAAGGAGCACGATTCTTGGGGAAATGTCCCTGCACGTGAAGCTCCTGGGCTGTGCGCTCCAGCTGTTTGTTCTAGGAGGAAGCAAAGCAGGCAGTATAATGCACCACCTACTTGGGCCCAGGAGTGAACCTCGGGAGGTCAGACAGACATACAAGCAAACGCACCTGCCCCAACCCATCAGCCTCCCGCCTCACCCCCCGCAAAAAAAGAGAGAGAGAGAAACAAACAACGATCCAGTTCCACAGAGAACAGGGCAGGGCAGGGGAACCCCCTCGGGTCGGAGTCCAGGTCTCCAGCAGAGGCCGCTGCAGCCGCGGGTGACGCCGAGTCTTTTGCACCTTGCGGCCTCCTCGTCGAACCCCCTCGCCGCCCGCCGCCTGCAGGTGAGTCCCGGCCCCCGGTGCGGGGTCTGCAGCGGGGTCTGCTCCGCCGTCCGCGGCGCGCATGCGCGAGGCCCAGCCCCCGCATCTGCGCAGCGCCGCGGAGCCCCGGCGAGGGACGCGGCGTGCGAGGCGGCTTCCGGGGGCCCGGGTACGCCGGAGTGCTGCGGGGACGACGGAGGCACGGGCCGCGAGCGAGGGCGGGGCGCGGACTCGGGGAGCCGCGGGCGTGGGGAGTGCGGCCCGGGCGCCTGGAGGAGGCCTCGGCCGTTGGGGTGCAGCGGCCGTGGCGGGGGTCGGAGCTGCGGCCCGGGGCGCAGGGCCCAGTCTGAGGGTGGACAGGGGTGGGGTCCAGAGTCAGTTCAAGCGGGAACGCTCAGCATTTGCTGGCAGTTGTGGCAGAAAGGCAGGCAGCAGGGTCCAGGCAGCGAGCTAGGGGACGGCGAGGCTCTGGGAGCAGGCGGCGCGGGGGCGGTGCCAGGCCTAGGGAAGCCGTGTCCCCGCGCGGCGTGATCGGCTCGTCCCTCACGGGCTGGAGCTGGGGTTTAGCGAGGGGAGGTCACTGGTAACCTAGAGGAGAGTGGAGAGCTTGTGGTGGAGACCAAGAGGGCACGGAGTCCTCAGGAGTAAGCACCAGGGACTGGTGTCGCACTTCCGTGGCTGACTTCCCCAAAAACTTGAACACCTGTGAAAGTTTGCACAGTTCCTTTTGCAATATTCTTTGCCGTGTATTTTTGCATTCCTTAACATTTTTACATTTTCTGTTGAAAAATGATTGTATGTGTTTATCGGGCACTATGCGATGTGTTGCTATATGCATATAGTATAGAAAAATGAAGTAAAGCTAATTAACATATCTGTCATCTCACCTACTTGAATTTTTGTGGTGAGAACGCTTCTTAGCAATTTTGAAATAAACAACACAGTGTTACCAACTGAGGTTACTAGACCTAAAACTTAACTGCGTCAGTCTTAATGAAACTTTGCACCCTTGTACCAACATCTGCCCTGTCTCCACTCCTTCCCTCATCTCCAGCTTCTGGTAACCACCATTCTGTTCTCTGCTTGTGTAAGTTCGACATTTTTGTATTTTGCAAGTGTTACCTGAGATCATGTATTTATCTTTCATGACTGGGTTGTTTCATGTAACTTGGTTCTCACATTCATGTTACCAAAAAATGGCAGAATCCCCCTCGCCCTCACCTTGGAGCTGGGGATCAAATTCAGGGCTCCATATGTACCAGCAAAGCACTGCTATGAGCTATATCCCCGGTGCCAGAATTTCCCTTGTTAAAGGCCTTGCAGAGCCCCATTGCATACATGTCTCACATTTCCTTTATCCATTTATCTGGGTGGACATTTAGGTGGCTGTTGTAAATAATCGTGTGGTACAGAGACCCCTGCTGACCCCTGATTTCAATTCCTTTTACTGTGTGCACACAAAAAAGAATTGTTAGATCGTGTGATTATTCTAGTTTTGGTTTTAGAGGAACCTCCATACTGTTTTCCAAAATGGGTATAGTAATTTACATTACCAGGCTGTACATTCTACAGGGTCACTTTCTCCACGTCCTTGATAATGTCTTTGATCTTTCTGATACTAACCATTTTAAAAGGGATGAGGTAATAATCTCACCGTAGTTTGGTTTCCATTTCCCCGTAGGTTGGAGATGTTAAGCATTTTTCTATCTATCTGTTGACCATTCATAAAAGCTTCTTTTGAAAAATACCTGCCGGAACCCTTGGTCTATTTTAAAAAGTATTCTCCTTCCCCCAGGTGCCTTATAGAGTTTAGATATTAGCTCCTTAGCAGATGTTACATGTATTTTCTCCCGTCTGAGAGTTGTTTCCTTCACTGTGCAGAAACTTGCCACGTGAGTCGATCCCATTGATCTATTTTTGCTTATGTTGCCTATGTTAGGAAATCATTGCCCAGACTCCTTAGTGCCGTGGCAGTTTGCACCTGCTTTCTTCTCATGTTTTACGGTTTCAGGTCTTTAAGTTTCTTCGATCCACCTTGAGTTTACTTTGCCTGTGGCATGAGGTAGAGGTCCAGGGTATTGAGTTTTCTCAGCACTGTTTCACAGGACTGACCTTTCTGCATTGTGTTAGTGGCATTTTCTTGAAAATTAATTGACTATAGGTGGGTGAATTTATTTCTGGACTTCATATCCTGGTCTGTTGGTATATGTGTTTATGGCAGTGCTGGGCCATGTTGATTACAATCAGAGCTTTTTAATACTTTGATATCAAGAGTGCAAGTCCTCTGGCCATGTTCTCCTTGCTCAAGATTGCTTTGGCTGCCTTGGATTCTTTTGTAGTTCCATACAAGTTTTAAGATTATCTTTTGCATTTAAAGTGACATGGAGGGGCTGGGGATTTAGCTCAGCGGCATAACAGCCTGCCTTGCAAGCGTGTGGTTGTCAGTTCGATCCCTGGTACTGGTAAAAAATAATAAATAAAGTGACAAGGGGATTTTGGTAGGGATTGCACTGAATCACTTGTGTGATACGGACATTTAAACAGTATGCTTCCAATCCATGAGCACAGGTTACCTTTCCGTGTATTTGTGGCTGCTTCAGTTACTTTCATCAGTGCTTTGTTTTCACCTCCTTGATTAAATCTACTAAGTATTTTAAAATTCTATTTAAATAGCATTGTTTTTTTAAATTTTTGTTTTGGGCAGGTTGTAGTTAATATATAAAATGTTGATTTTGTTTCCTGAAAATTGACGCTAGATCAGAATGGGAAAGCAACAGCAGAGCTGAATATATGCATCTTTGAAACAAATAGCTAAACACACACAGTAGACTCAAAATAACTTCATGAATTAGGTAAGAAGCTCGGAGTTAAAGATAGATGTTTTGGGAGCTTTAGTCTTTACAATTTTCATCTAGATACACAGGTTAACAGTTATCCTCTATGACAATGTTTTGTAAAGCCTACTAAAGCTGGATGACAAATACTTGGATTTATTATACTATTATTCATAGATGTTTAAGATTTTCGATTATTAGAAAATAAAATCATCATAGTGATGCTTCTTGTGTCCCTGTTGTGGCTTAGATCTGAAGTGGCCCCCAAAGCCTCCTGGGTTGGGAAGGTGATTGGGCAGAAGAGCTGACTTGCTGCTGGGAGGCTGGATCTGGTCATGGGCTCGTGGCCTAGAAGGGTTTATCTTCCCTCAAGCTCTCTGCCTCCTTCCCCCAGACCCTGAGCAGCCCTCCTCCACCATGCCCCCCTCCTGCCATGCTATTCCTTCTTCGAAGCTGGCAGACTGAACTGGACCCTCAGCCAAAAACTCTCGCCCTTTTAAGTTGCGGGTGTCAAGTATTTGTTTTCCCAGCAACAGAAAAAGTGACTAAGATAATCCCTTTACTGAGGTTTTCTAGAAAAACTAGTCAGTCTGATGCATATCATGTCCGTGCTGGCTGAAGATGGTGCCAGACCATTCTGGCCACGCTTCCTTTAGCTGAAGCTCCAGGCTGAGTTTCATGATGGCTGAACTGCAGGCTGCTCACCAGAGTGGCCCTTGTGACTCCTGGGACTTCTGCTTTGCTCCTCTCCTCCTCTGCACATACTCGGCATGTTTGCCCTGCAGAAGTGGCCCCAGACAGCCAGAGAGGGTCTTGTCCTCTGAAGTTTTACAAGCGTACTATACAGCATGAGGAGCCCATAGGCAACATACCTGGGACCAGAACTATTTTGGATTTTGGAATATTTGCCAATATATTTTGAGATACCTTGAGGAAGAAACTCAAGGCTAAACACAGATTCATTATATTTCATGTACACATTCGATTCATAAGCCTGATGGTAATTTTATAAAATGTTTTGATTGTGACCTATCACATTAAATCAGTATGGTATCGTATTGGTACTCAGCAGATTTTGGATTTTGGAGACTTTCAATGGTTTGGATTAGTGATGTTCAACCCCGACCACTGGGGTTTAGCCTGCTCTTCGGCATTCCCAGCTTCCTGTGCAGTCTTCTTGATTACAGCAGAAACTGTTTATGTTGAGAGTGTCATTTGCTTGCATCTTATTTTTAAGTGAGGTTTATTGAAATTACAAGTTATTGTCAGATTCACCCCTTTTATTTTACGGTTTTATGACAACCATACCCAAAATAAAGATACACAATTTTCCTTTGTTCTAGAAATTTCTTTGCCCTGTCTTAACTTTATCCCCTATCACTGTCCTAGAAACCACTGATGAGATTTTTGTGCCTACAATTTTACCTTCTCAGAGTACCACAAAATGGTTTCAAAAGTAGCTTTTACTGTTTGGCTTATTTTATTTAGCATAGTGTTTTTCTTTCTTTCTTTCTTTTTTGCAGATTACTTTATTTTGGAATAATTTAGGGCTTACAGAAGTACCACAAAAATAGTACAGAGTCCTTGTACACAGTTCCCCTAATGTTGCACCTTACCTTACCCAGAGCATAGTGATCAAAGCTGGGACATTTCCTAGGCATGGCCGTGTTCATAGTCAGTGCTGTTAACTAACTTACAGATGCTCACAGTTTTCCTGGGTGACGCACCAACACCAGTTTTCAAGGCTTTGTCCAGTCCAGGACCCCATATTATAAATTGTGCTTCCCTACTGTCCAGCCTGGGGTTGTATCTTTCAATCCTTGATGCTTCTTAAAAGAGCATGATACTTGCCAGTAATTAAGTTATGTGTTTTTGAGGAAACTTCTGTATAAGCAAAGCTTTGCCCTTCTCTTTGCATCGTATCAGGCAGTAGACGGAGCTGATTTGTTACTGGTGAGTTAACCTTGATCACTTGGTTAAGATGGTAGCTGCCAAGTTGCCACTCTACAGTTACTATTGCATCATTTATTTTATTTTTTGTGGTGCTAGAGTGTGAAATCAGAGGCTTTGTACTAATCTGTATCCCCAGCCCTCTTTTCGTTTTTCCTCTGAAGCAGGTTCTGGCCAAGTTGTCCAGGCTGTGCTCAAACTTGCAGTCCTCCTGCCTCAGCCTACTGTAAAGGGTCCTTCATGCTGTTCAGCGTTCACAGTTTGTTCTTTATTGCTGAAGCATCTTCATTGCATGAGTAAACCACACTTTGTTTACTTCTTTATGAATTGATGGGCATTTGGTTTGCTTCCAGTTTGGGACCTGGCACAATCCACCAGGATTTGGTAATCTGTTACACATAAGCCTTGTCACAGAACACCAGAGTCAGGCAAGGGCACCCTGCCTGTGACCACAATGGATCAGGACAGAAATAAGATGAACTCTGACACAAACAGAACACTGTCTGATCCACGAAAAGGCCTCTCCCTCCTCCCGTCCTGGCTGATCTGAGGGATTGCCACTTGGCTGTTCGGCCGGTGTCAGCCTGATTGTAGTGTTTCAACCTTTTAGTTAGGCCTCATGACAGCGGCCGTCACAGCAGCTGCTTCCTAGCAGAGGCCAGCCTGGAATGGTGCTGCATTTCCCTGAACTCCTTCCCAGGAGAGCAGACACCAGCCCAGACCCCAGAGGATTGCTTCTCAGTACTTGGTGAAACGCCCTGCAGTTGATTGGCAGATTCTCCACTCAGCCGCACATGTGTTCCCGGTGCTGGGCTGGACCAGTGGCCAGCACACACTGCCTGGTGACCTCCACTGTTGTCTCCCTCTGTGCTATGTCCCAGCCCCCATCCATCTTTTCCTGATTTTTAAGATTTCTTTTTCTAGACACAAATTCAAAAAGTACTAAAGTATATTCTTATATCCCTTTTCTTCTCTCTTAAAGGAGATTTTTCGTCTTTTTAAAAGCAGCAATTTTTCATATGAATTCTCCCATTCAGCTTTTTCCCAAGCCTGTAAGGCAGGGATTCTCAAACTCCAGTGGTCATCAGGATGGACAGGAAGTAGACTGTGGACTCTGTCTGAGACTGTCTGACTCCAAGGACTAAGGTGGAGCCTGAGGCTCTGGATTCCTGGTGTCTAAGGTCACGATGCTGCTGGTGGCTCTGGTTCCCCCTTGGAGAAGCACGGCTCGGCACCCCCCACCCCCACAGCCCCTGCTCACACACATCCAAAGAGCACTTGAGAACCTGACTTAAAAACAGCCAGTGCAGAGGCTAAGTATTACGAAGATCTGATACTAAGATGCTACTAAGATTGAGTATTCTTATCTACACAGTCTCTGACTCATGATGATTCTATTCTAAGACTTTTCAGCTTTACCCTGGTGCTGTTTTTCATGCTCAGTAAATCATGTCAGATGGTCAATGCTTTATTATCAATTAGACCTTGTGGTAGATGATTTTTCCCAGTTGTAGGTTAATTAAGTGTTCTGAGTATACTTAAGGTAGGGTTAGCAAAGCTGAACTATGATGTTCTGCAGGCGAAGTGTACTAAATGCATTTTTAATTAAAATTTTCATTTTACGGATTTATCAGGATGTCACCCCACTGTAAGTCAAGGAACATCTGAGTGTGTATATAGAAGTGCACATACATATACATGCATATATACTTGAAGATTTTTCTGACTATTTCTCTTTTGGATTTTTTCTAAAGCCTACCTGGAGAATTAGTACCACAAAGAAAACCTGATGGGACCTCTCCAGATTGTCACAAGCCGATTACTCTCCCAGCTGTGTCGTGGACAGAAGGCTCCAGCCTCCCCTCGAAGCAAGATTTGCCTAATAATGGCCCGTCCAAGTTCCAGTGAGTCATTCTTAGGGTACCATCTCCTCCCCAGTACCATGGGATGTTCCCTGCAGTCCAAAGGGGACCTCTGTGTTGAAGTAGGTGTTGTATAAGGCAGGAGATATAGCTCAGTGGTGCAGTGCCCACCTGGCAAGCGTGAGGTCCAGAGTTCAGTTCCCAGGATCCTACTTCCCTTCAGAAAAGTAGGTGTTCACAGTGCTTTGGACAGAGCTGCCCTGTCCTCGTTCTTTTTGGGCAAAGTCAGTGCTTGTCTCTCAGTACTCACATTCTGTCCACTTGTTAGGACAGTATATTGCTTCTCCCAGAATGTTTGCACTTTAACTGTTCACATATGATTTGGAAGTTTTTTGGTTGCTTTGTGGTGCTGGGGATGAAGCCCAAGGAGACTAGCATTCTACTATTGACCTACACAACCAGCCCATGGATGTTTTAAACCTATGCCCTTTCTGCCGGGGAGAAAGCTGATGATTTTCCTGTAGGGAAATATGAGGTTCAGTTTTTTTAATGGACCAAAATCTTTGCACCTGACGAAACCCTGTCAGTTAACACATGCAGGGAGCAGAGGGACTGGCCAGTTTTTATAATCAAATGATCCTGAGGTAGCTGGTTAGACAGAGCTTCAGTATGACATTGAAGAGTCAAGCCAAGCTCTGTTTGTCTTATTTTTAACGTTTGGATAACTTTTCCTGACACTGTGAATCTGCTCAGGCATAAAGACTCCCCACTCTGCCCAGTCTTAGGGCTGGAAAAGAAGCAAAGGCACCCCCTTCCGCTCCAGAGTCGGTTACATGGTGGGTACAGAAGCACATGGCTTCTGTGCCTCCGGCTCTCACCACAGGCTGGGCCTCACACCATGCCTGGGGGCTTGCCTTCAGCAGCCAGACAATGGTAGTGGAAGGGGTTGTTTTTGTGGTCCTGCAGGCTGGGCCCAGGGCCTCATACCTGTTAGATAAGCACTACTACTGAGCTACATCCCCAGCAATGGAAAATATTTCATACCGTGTAACACCACTGTATATTATACCCTGTTCTCTTTGTTTATAAAAGTTGCTTTCAGAAGGGCACCTTAATAGAAGTCAGTCAGACCTGGGGATTTGTTGGGAGGTGTTAGTTTTCCCATGGGGTAGAAAGATCGCTGGGCTGGTGATAATTTTAGAAGTAAGCTTTGAAGTCTTTTTTTTTTTTTTTGGTATCAGCAATCGAACTCAGGACCTCACAGCTGCCAGGCAGGAGCTGTGCCACTGAGGTCTATCCCCAGCCCAAACTTTGAGGTCTTTGGGGATGTTTTTGTATAGGTTGGACCCAGGCTTCATACACATAATTCCTGGAAAGGTACATTTTCTTTTTCTTCCTTTTTACAGTTTCTCATTATTAATGTTCAGTATTTGTGCTTGTTCTTCCAGAGGATTAGTCCAAATTAGAAACTCCGATTACTCAGGATGCGTTTCTTTTTCCAGCTTCCTCCTGGCTGGGCAGTTTTAGTCTCCAGATAGGCCTTAGTTTCTCACCTGTCTAGCTCTGAAAAGCAGCGCCTCGGTAGGTCTTTGGCATGACTGGCCAGGTACTGGGTTGGCTCCCATGAAGACAGCCTTATGTCTGAGCCATCTCCACTTCCTTCTACCTGATGGTGCCGGAAGTACAGCCCAGCCAGCTCCAGGAATGTAGCTGGAGAGGACCCCGAGGTCTCTGCCTTTGTTCACACTTGCCATGGGTCTACTGTAGGGCAAGGGTCAGCAAGGGAGGGAAGACTGGGCTTTTACCAGGGTCTGTATCCCAGATCGGGCACTGTGTCTGGCTCTGGTTTAGGAGGACCTGGAGGTTCCTATCCCTGCCTAGGGGCATCATCCACATAAAAGAAACCAGCGTGACCCCCTTACCAGTTTGGGATGCAAAAGAGGTCACATTCTTGGTAATATCTGAATTCACTGTCTCTGAGCCCCATTTCACTGTCTTTCTTCCTTGTCCCCATTCTGCCTGTCATGGTTCTCCCGGGGACGCTCATTATTCTTGGTTGGCCTTCCTGCCTGCTGTGTCATGGAGGAGTTCAGCCTCACCTTGGCTGAAACCTGTCATGTTCTAACACAGGTTGGCCACTCCTGAACATTTCCACATCCGGGACAGCGCCAGGCCAGTACTTGCTTCATCAGTGGCGGATGGAACAGGGAGTCTCTCATCCTCCTGGAAGCTCGTACTCTTGCCACCAACCCTGCCAGGGACCCAGTGTGTGCCCTGCACGTGGGGCCCTCAGACTGGCAAGGCCTGGGAGAGGAGAGTTGCTCCAGCCAAAGGTTGCACACTGCCTAGCTGTCTTCCCAAGAGAAACGATGGCAGCCCAGTGTCCTGTCAGCTCCAAGCCTGGCTCCTGATGCTGTCCTGGGATGTCAGGGCAATGGCTTCATTGGCCACCTGTGGTCCACATGATATGCTTGGTGTTGAACCAGGGTGCAGAGGGCCTTTGCTAACTGGTACTGCTGCCCCTGCTGCCCTGAGGGCTGCCTGGCGGTAAAGGGCGTGAAGGCAAGCCATGTGACCCCGAGTACCCTTTGACACATGCTCAGGCTCAGTCGCCTTTTTGTATCCCAAGTCTGGTGATGCTTGAGAAGATGCTTGACTCTTGTAGGAGTGTAAAAAACAAGGTTTTGCCCACGTTTGGGACAAGATGCTTATTTCTGGGGTGGATAGGAGGAGCTGTGGTCTGTGTGCTAGGAGAAGATGGGGCAGGTGGATTTGGAGAGGAATATGGGCCTTCGGAATTCAGTGAGTTCCAGCTTGGCCCTCACACAAATACCCAAGCTTGCTTTGTCTTGTATGAAGGAAAGTGGATTCTTAGCCATCATCCTTATAATCTGCACCACACTCTGCTCTGAGGCGAGCACCACTGTGCACCTGAGAAAGGAGAGTAAAGAGTTTCTCCGATCACACGGGGGGGGGGGGCTAATATTCTGAAGCTTTAAGGCACTGTAGGTGACATGGTGTCTTCATGATACAGGAGTGCCTTGTATTCGCGTATCTAAAAGCATAATTTCATACAAGGTGAAGTATCAAAATACAGACAGCTGTCATGGATCTAAATATCCAAGTGGCATGCAGGACTGATGAGACTTTCATTCTGTTTAGATATGGCGGATTTTCGGAAGTGCTTTGCAAGCGCCAAGCACATAGTCGTCATCTCTGGGGCTGGCATTAGCGCTGAAAGTGGGATCCCCACATTCCGAGGGGCCGGCGGCTACTGGAGAAAGTGGAAAGCCCAGGTCAGTAGCATTTCCAGGTCAGTAACGCCCTTCGGAGTGAAGCTACATCAGATTGACTTGGAACCGACACAGACGCACAGGGGGAAAGCTTTAAATCAACAGTGACCCTTCTGTTCTGTTGATTTTGGCACCCACACGAAGTACCTATAACAAAGGTCAGAAATTTAAGCCAAGCCGTTACTTTCCTTAACTTCTAGCTGTAAACAGAATCCATTCATTCAAGTAAAAGAGAAATTTCTCCTGATAATTGCGTTGGAGATGAATCAGAGCTGAAAGCAGCGGCACACACCTGTAATTCCAGCTGTTTGGAGGCTGAGGCAGGAAGATTGGGAGTTTGAGACCAGCCTGGACAATTTAGCAAGACCTTGTCTCAGATTTTTTAGGAAAGGGCTGGGGATGTAGCTCATTGCTAAGCCACTTTCCCAGCATGTTGCCTGGCGTGCGCAAGGGCTTGGTTCAGTCCCTAGAACTGTAAAGGAAAAGCAGAAGAAAAGAGTGGAATCAGGAAATCTTAGCACAAGTCATTATTTTTCTAAAAATAATTGAAATTAAATATTATGTATTTTCAAAGTTTCTGTGAAGCATTCACATTAAAAGTGAAATTGACTTGTTTAAGGCCTAGGTCTTGATGTTCGTTTAATATGAATCTAAATATGTGTGGATACTGGTTTTTTTAAATTCAATTTTGTGTGTGTGTGTGTGTGTGTGTGTGTGGTACTCAGGACTGAACCTGGTTTCTTTGCACTGAGCAACATTTCCACCTGTTTAATATTTATTTAGAGATAGGGCCTCAGTAGGTTGCTAAGTTACCCAGGCTGGACTTGAATTTATAGTCTTTCTGCCTTAGCCCCCTCCAGAGTGCTGAGATTATGGGAATGTGCCAACACACCTGGCTTACACTGAGTTTTTGAGCTATAGTATAGTAAAATTCACCAGTGTTAACTGTATAATTTAGTGAGTTTTAGGAGATAGATACAGCTGTGTAGCCACCACCACGATTGCAAGACAGGACATTTCTCTTTTTCTTCTTTCTGCAGTGCTAGCATAGAGCCCAGGGCTTGCACCTGCTGGGCAAGCAGTCTGCCACTGATCTACGGCTCCAACCTGAGATTATTTCTGTCCCTCCAGAATCTTCCATCTTGGTCTATCATCTCCATCTCCTCCTGTCTCTCTGCTCTAGAAAATCTTGTTTTGGGAGAGCACAGAACTTTGTCTGTTTTATCTGTGCCCCTCCTGCTGTTCCCAGCTCCCAGGACCTGGCACACTGTAGGTGCATATAGGTGCATATGTAGAGTCCAAGGGTCACTGTCACAGCCATGAGCAGGACAGAAGGGGTGCAGGGATGAGGTCACCACAGCACACAAGGCTTGCTCACAGAGGGAGGGCTGACAGTGTCACTGCTGGGGAAGGGCTTGACACACATCTCGTGTCCCCTCTGAACGGGACACTCAGCCCACCAGAGCAGACATGCTTCTCCCAACGCAGAGCTTACATGGAATAAAGCCTATGTGTGGATGTCCTGTGCACAATATGCTGACTTTTGCAAGGTAGATACCCCATGTTAACGTCACCACCTCCACAAGCCAGGCCTGGGACATTACTATCCCTGATTAAGATTCCTGTGTCCTTCCTGTTGGTGGCTAGCCCCAAAGAGCTGGTGCTGTGCCCTTCTGGCCAAGCTGTGTTTGCTAGAAGAGCTGTGCTGTAGAACACACGTATTTTTCCGATTCTGTTTGTAAATGCACTGCTTTTTATATGTGTGCAGGGGCAGTTGCCTGTGTGCATACAGCTGCATGTGGTTGTGTACATGTAGGTATACAGGTATAGTTTGTCATCTGCGTAGTCATGTATACTGTGGGACAGTTTTATGTATAGTGTGTGTGGGGTTGTGACAGGGGTGTGTACTTGCGCGCGCGCGCGCGTGCGTGTGCGTGTGTGCGTGTGTGTGTGTGTGTGTGTGTGTGTGTGATGGCTTGAGTTATAAAACCTGAGCTTCCCAGTGGTGACCATGGCCCCTCCCTTGGGCATCTTGCATTTCACATTTTCCTGAGTTACCTCATAGATTTGGGGCGCTATGAGAAGGGGGCTGCCCCGAACTGCTTTACCCTGTGCAGAGCTGGCTGGAGTGCTTAGCTGGCCTGTCCCACTCGGGTAACTAAGACCCACTTCTCCATCTCTTAGTCCTGACCCGGGACCTGAAGCGGCCACACCGCAGACTCTTTGCCTTCCTGACCCCCGCGTCCCCCTCCCCACAGGACCTGGCCACCCCAGAGGCCTTTGCCCGCAACCCCTCGCGGGTGTGGGAGTTCTACCACTACCGGCGCGACGTCATCCTGTCCAAGGAGCCCAACCCCGGGCACCGCGCCATCGCCGAGTGTGAGGCCCGGCTGAGCAAGCAGGGCCGCCGGGTCGCGGTCATCACCCAGAACATCGACGAGCTGCACCTCAGGGCTGGCACCAAGAACCTGGTGGAGATCCACGGTGAGGGCCGCCGGGCTGTAACACACTTGTGCCAGTCGGACGAGGTGGCACACCCGGGGAGGCCGAGTCGGGAGGCTTGCACGTTCCCGAGCGCGCGTGTTTTGTGCGCATGCTCGGCGAGGCTGCCTGGCCTTGGGGTTCAGGGCCAGCAGGTGACGAACGCTGCTCATTGTGCACTTGCAGCCCCAGCCTCTCTTTATTTTTTTACTGTTAAAGAAACAAAACAAAACAAAACAATAGAAACTGGTACAAAATTTCCAAACGAGATAATAGTGACAATGGTTAATACATTGCATGTTGTTATCTTCAAAGTAGTTGCTCAAATTTCAAGCTATAGGCATGAAAAATGGATCAAACTGTATAAGCACAAACCTTTCTGTTTAGTGAACTAATAGAAATTAGTAGTATAACTCTTAAATATCTTGTGTATATATCTATATCTATATATCTATATCTAAATCTAAATCTGTATATCTATGGGGGGTGTTGCCTTTTCTCTTCCTTCTTCCTTCTTTTCTCCTTTTTTTCCAGTTCTTTCCTTTTGAGTAGTGTCTTCCCCTTTCACAGTATCTGTTGCGAGTCTGACGTTGGACCTTTCTCAGTCTTAACCAAAAGGTGTTAATAGAAAAACATCAGACCACAACCAGGCCTCACTCTCTAAATCCTTTATGCGTCTTCCGCCTTCTCTCAGCTCTGTTAACCCTGCTTCTATCTCTGCAGTTGATATGCCTGCATGGGTCAGCTAAGGTTGCATCTGGTGGCTTCCTGTTGCACAGGAAGCCAGCTCCTCAGAAACTTAAGCTCTGCATGACCTCACCTGGCTTCTGCGTCCATCCTGTGACCAAACACTGCTGCAGGAGCGATGGGTTGCTGGATCCCACCTGCCTGGGACCTGTGGCCAAGCTTGAATTTGAAATGTGGGTGACAGCTCCATTGGCTGAACGTGGGATAGAGGAGAAATAACTCCCCAAAGAAGGAGGAGCAGGTGAAAGAGTCCGGTGCACTCAGTGTGTGAAGCCCTCAACCCCACTCTGGGCACATGGCAGCTAAATAAACTGTGGCTGCCATTATTACTTTAGCCAAGTAAATGGATTCTAGTGTTAGCAATTCCTGATCTATTAGTTAATTGCTTATTCTTTGAGCTGATTTTGTGTAGAAGATTCAAGCCATTGAAACTGTACATCTTGCCCTTAGCCTTAGGTCACATTTCATCTTCCTGTTGACCACATCATTTCCATCTGAAGATTCCTTTGAGGTAATTTGAGCGCACACTGGAGAAGTAGTTATTTCTTCCAGATTACAAGACCCTCGAGGCTTTGGCTCTTGGCTGGTTCTATAGAGCATCGTGCCTTTATATTTCCTATGATCCCTAGGACAAGCCCACTTGCTAAAATGATTGTGTGAGACCTAAATTATTTGTATTCTGTGTTGGTCAGCTTTCTGTTACTATAATAAAATTCTGGAGATAATCAAACAGAGAAAACGTTAACTTCGGCTCACAGTTTTGGAGGTTCTGGTTCATGGTCAGGCAGCACCTCATGGCAAGGAGAAGCAGGGTGCTCACCTCAGGGTGCCTGGGAAGCAAAGAGGGAGAAAGTGGCGGGGCCAGGCTCCCACTGTCCACTTCAAGGGCACAGCCCCATGCGATCAGAAGACCTCCAGCTGGACCTCACCACTAAAGGCTCTGCCACCTCCCAAGAGCACCAAGCTGAGGACCCTTGGGGACAAACAGGCCTCTGGGGCAACTTCCAGATCCAAACTATTGCATACTTGAGGTGATGGCTCTTGATTGTACTAAACTCTGGACCCGCTTTGTGTGTTTTTCAGGTACCATATTTAAAACTCGATGTACCTCTTGTGGCTCTGTGGTCGAGAATTACAAGAACCCAATTTGTCCAGCTTTATCGGGAAAGGGGTAACTATCTTCCAGTACAAAATAAATGCATGTTGGTTCCTTCTTTAAGTTGAACAGATGTGTAGGAAATGGAACATCGATTGATGATTCCCAGGAATATTTATGAGAAATAGGAGTAGGAACAGTTCAGATATAAAAGAAATGCCAAACTATGTATGATCCTCCCAACTTGCTATTTAAACACATGTACTGTACTTACTCCATGTTTATGTGTCAGTATATTAGTTAAAATACCAAAAGAAAAACATTTTAAAGTTAATAGTGTCAGAGATTATAGATAATTTATATTTCTTCCTTATGTCATTCTGAATTTTCCAATATTTTTATCGTGAATATGTACTGTTCTTATAACTGACACCAAAAAAGAATAGATTCAGACTATAGGGAGAAGATCTAGTGAACCACGTTGGAACCATATAATTATATAGGTGGTGTGTTAGAGTCTTGTCCCCTCAGAAGAGTCAAATGACGCTGAAGTGTCAAGTCATCATGAGATCCCCTTAGCACCCCTGATCATGCCCCTTCCCCGCAGAGTCCCCACTTAAAGTGAAACCGCTGGTCACTCTGTCACGGGGCTCTGTCCTGCTAGTACTCTTCGAAGTTACCACTCACTAGTTAGGAGTTCCTCCCATGTGCTGTCAGGGTAATGGGTTCTGCTATTTCTTTGTTGTTAGATTATACTAATGATGTTTTTTTCTTTTCTGTTATTATGTACTTCAGTGCTCCCGAACCTGAAGCTGAAGATTCCAAAATCCCACTTGAAGAACTTCCCCGGTGGGTAAAAAAAAAAAAAAAACCTTTGCATTTGGTGTTCCAGATTGCAAGAAAGGAGAATTGGAATTCCAAAACTAAACATTTATCAGTGAGCTCCCTCTTCATTTAAAGCCACAGAGGCACAGATGCAGAAAGCAGCCCTGACCCAGGAGGCCAGGGGTGAAAGGACAAAAGATGACTCAAATGAACATCTTTCGAGTCCCCACACCCTTTACTTCCCTCCCCCTTGAAGAGACTAGTCTCGCTATGTTGGCCAGGCTGGTCATAAACTCTGAGGCTCAAATGATCCTCCTGCCTCAGCCTCCCCGGTAGCTGGAGCTCCTAGTACACCCCACAACACCCAGCTCCAGTCCCGTTTTGTTTTGTGCTCTGGCGATGTCTGAGGTCTGGAAAGTTCTGGGGCTGTTATGTGACAGCGGGTTTTCCAGTGCACAGAAAGCACAGAGGCTGGCTTCTTGCAGTTAGAATAAATGTTAACTCCTGGTTTCTTCTTCTTTCTCCTTTTTTTCCTTTGTCAGAGAAACAGTAAAGGTCATACAAGGGGCCAAATAGAGTTTTTTGTAGATTTTTTTTTAAAAAACCTAGAAAGATTTTTATGTTAGTTTTTCAAAACTACATTTTGAAACAATACTTCTGAACTGTGAACTGGGTATGGTGGCTCCTGCCTATAATTCCAGTACTCAGGAGGCTGAGGCAGGATCAGCCTGAGTTACGTAGTTCAAGACCAGCCTGAACTACATAGTAAGACCCTGTCCAGAAAAAAAAAAAAGGAAGAAAGGGGAGAGAGAGAGAGAGAGAAGAGGAGAGACTAGAAAGTATTTCATAGAGTAGCATAGTCTATAAAGGATATCTAGGCTTTACTTAGGAAAAAAGATGTCATGTGTTCACATAAGTAAGGAAACATTAGATTAAGGGAAGTTAAAATGTGTTTGCTTTGCTGTAGGACTTCCTGGAGTGTTAGTGTGCTGGTATTGGTCAGCTTTCCCACTGCAGGGGCAAAACACCTGACACCCACAATTTAAAAGAGAGCTTTGTGTTAGCTCACAGTACCAGAGGGCTCAGTCCATGGTCCACTGGCTCCACTGGCGGAACATCACAGTGGAAGAGTATGCCAGAGCAGAGCTGCTTGCTTCCTGGTGGCCGGGATGCAGAGCACAGGGAACCCCCAGTTATAGCTATACCTCCCCAAGGGCCCCTGCGACCCACTCCTGCCTGGACCTCACTGGCACCCAGACCCTACCTCCAAATAGCTCCTCCAAATAGCTGTGAACATCAGGGATTAACCTGCTGAAGAGTGCAGTATCCCCAGAAGCCACTCGCCTCTCTAGAGTCTCTAACAGTCAATTTGACGACTAAGATTAGCTGGCACAGCCAGGGATGGCGGCTCACACCTGTACCTCCAGAACTCTGGGAGACTGAGGCAGGAAAGTCCCAAATTTGAGCCAGCCTGGGCAACTTAGAAAATTAGCAAGACTCTGTCTCAAAAAAAATAAAATAACTTAAAAAAACAAAAAACTGGGAATGTGGCACAGTACAGAGGCCCTGGGTTTGATCTCCAGTAACAAAAGCAAATAATAATAACAATAACAACAACCCTGGCACAACTTTATAGTATTGTTTTCTGAAAAGTGGATTATAGTATGTTAATGTTTCTCTGTATTATTTTAACCACAAGATACATTGTTTTTCTTTTAAGAGTTTCATTACTAAATTCTGAAGTTTCTATCTAAGAGAACAGGGAGCCCTGGGGCTCCCCAAGTGGGAAATGGGTAATGCAAATGGCGTCCGGGGAGAGGAGTTGAGAAAGCGCAGCTGTAAAGACAGCGATGGTGACCTGGGGGCAGGATAGAGCGAAAGGTAGAGTTGGAGTCTTGGCTGCTGAAGACCCCGCTGTGGAAGCCCGGCCAGGAGCGAAGGGAGGGCAGTCACTGAGGTAGCCAGCCAGGGTGCAGGTTTGGAGGCCAAGGGGACGCCCAGGGCTGGTAGGGGTGCAGGGCAGCGCGGAGGGCGAGGAGCCAGCTGGCAGCACAGCCAGGGGCAGAGGTGGCACAGCAGGGGCAGACTCAGTGCAGGCTGGCCAGGCAGGGTGGGGCGGGCAGGATGGATCAGAGGTGACCTGCACTGGTGGCCTGGCCTGGGGTGGCCTCTGGCCTTCCTCCCAGCATCCTGCGAACTGGCTGAGGTGAGTTAACCCTCTGTTCCTCCAGGTGCGAAGTGGCAGGGTGCGGGGCCTTGGTGCGACCTCACGTGGTGTGGTTTGGAGAAGACCTGGACCCTGCAGTTCAGGAGAAGGCTTCCCGAGAGCTGGAGCGCTGTGACCTGTGTCTAGTGGTAGGTGCCGCCCTCCGCAGCGCTGGGCTTTTCCTGAACACCGCCCTGGGGTGCAGCTTGCCGTGGGCGCCTCCATTCCAGCCCCTCCTCTCCTCCTGTCTCTCCTTCTCCTTCTCCTTCTCCTCTTTCTCCTTCATGCTTCCCCCTTCCGCACTTTGCCCTTCCCTTCCTGAAAAATGGGTGTGGAGAGGTATCCTGGAAACCCCAGAAAAACTTAGAACTGATGAAAGTCGCTCTTAGAGTATGGAGTTATGCAAGACTGTTTCTTGAGCATCTTAAAACCTCACCCACCAAAGGAAAAAAGCATGTTAATGATTGAGATTTTAAACACAATACATGCTCATTGTTCAGTTTCATTGATGAATACAAAAATTTCAAATCATCCAACTTAGGAACCATCTATAGTTCTACCATCTAGGGAGAGTCATAAAGCATCCATAATTCTGCCATCTAGAATTAGACGTTCCCACTGTGGAGGGCCACTTGGACTGCTGTCCTTGAATACAGATTTTTATAATTTTATATTTTATATATTTATTAAATATGCTATTATATATATGCCAACAGTGATTATTGTGGGGTAGTAGGGTCATGTTTTTTCTTTGTATCCCTTAAAAAAAGGGAAAAGAAAGATCATAGATCATTTGTAGAACTTCAAAGAGGAGAAACGAAACAGAACTTCCCCTCAGACACCTGCCTGCTCACCTCCTTCCCTCCATCTGCCTGCACAGCCCTCCTTTTGTGTCAAACATTCTTCCGGAATTCTAGTGCCGGGCCTGAGGACCACCTCCTAACGTCTTTCCTGCTTGGCCCTAGGATGTGTCTGCATACTAGACTGCCTGAGTTTGTAGAAGGTTTTTTCCCCCTTAAAAAGTGTTTCTTCTCCCCACAGGGCGATCATTGTGTGTTTTGGTGTTTGCCTCCTAGGTGGGGACTTCCTCTGTGGTCTACCCAGCCGCAATGTTCGCCCCCCAGGTGGCAGCCAGGGGCGTGCCAGTGGCCGAATTTAACACGGAGACCACCCCAGCCACCGGCAGATTCAGGTACACCACCGCGTGGAGGGGCAGAGGGCGGCTGGCCAGGTCCCCTCCGCGGAGGGCCGGCCCCGGCAGGGGCAGAGGGCTCACTGCAGAGTGGAGTGGCTGTGGCTCTTTACATAGGAGTTGCAGGAGGGCTTGAGATGCTTCAGGTTCTGAAAGCTCTTTGATTCTTGAGGCTTCACTTTCATGTGTGGCTTTCACAGGAACCTTTGTGTTCCTGAGCGCCTTGTGGGGATCCTGTCGCCGGCATCCGTGGGGACAGCGTGGGTCAGTAGAGGACACGCGTTTAAGTCATTCCAGGCTCCCTCCTAGGCCTTCACCTTTGGTTTGCTGTTTATTCTCCTCCCCAGTTTCCTTTTTCTTTTTTTCCTAACCCCAGTGTCTTGTCTTCACTTTTAATTCTTGCCAGTTTGCTTGATTCTTTTCTAGAATAAGGTAGAATATGAATAAGTAATAAATAGAAGCAAAACACAAGATTTCAGTGAAGCTCCATGTCACCTCAGCAGTGGTTTTCCACCTTGAAAATACTGACATCTGCAGGCCACCTCACGTGCTTTTCATGACACCGGCCTGGGCGCCGTGATCTTTGTAAGCTTCCTTGGTGGTTCTGCCATGTGACCCAGACGCGAACTGCAGCTCTGGGTCTCCCTGGGGTTAGAGCGCACACCACGGACCCTGCAGCAGGGGCCTCACCAGTGAGACTCCTGACCGCGGCCCTGGAGTCCGGCCCTGACCGCCTGTGCCCCTCTGATCAGTACGGCCAGTGTTCGTGGCCCAGAGTTCTTCATTCATGTGTTCTTCATTCATCAGGACCAGGAAGTCTTCTTTACGAAAGGGTTTCCTGTGCAAAAGCTCCAAAAACTATAGGTCATAGTTTAAATACAAAATAAAAGACCTAATTAAATTAATGTATGTGGATTGGACCAATTTACTTGTTATTATTTTGTCTTTTTGAGACAGGGTCTCTGTATGCAGTTCAGGCTGGTCTAAAGCTCTCCTTGTAGCCCAGGCTGGTCTAAAGCTCTCCTTGTAGCCCAGGCTGGTCTTGAATTTGAGACAGTCCTCCTGCCTCAGCCTCCTGAGTGCTGGGATTACAGGCATGCACCACCATGCCCCATTCGATTTAATATTTTTAAAATGGCAGGCTTCTCCAAACTGATCTATAGGTTTGATCCAGTCTCTATCAAGATCACAGCTGCCTTTTTGCCGAAATTGACAAAGTGGTCCTAAAATTTATATGGGAAATTCAAGGAACCCAGAATAGCCAAAGCAGAGGGAGAAATCTGGAGAACTCACACTTCTCAATTTCAAAACTTCCTGCAGAGTTCTTTAGTGAGGACGATGTAGTACTGGCAGATGGACAGGTATATAAAATTAGTGCAGTGGATCTGAGAATCCCACGATACCCTCTCATCTGTGCTCACCTGATTTTGGAGAACATTGTCAAGACCGTTCAGTGTCTGTGGTGGGTCACAGACCTGAATACACAAGTCAGAACCATGAAATTCTTAAAAGAGAATATAGGAGTAAATGTTCATAACCTTAGATTAATTTTTGCAAATTTAGCCAAAAGCACAAGAAAACTGGATAAGTTGAACTTCATCAGAATTAAGATAGGTTCCATCCACGGTGTGAAGAAGCAACCCACAGAAGCAGACAAAAGATTTGTAACTCTAATATGTGATAGGAGATGTGTGTATCTAGGATGTATAAACAGCTCCTACAATTCAAAAGGCAATGTGTGGGCCGGGGATGTAGCTCAGTGACATAGTGCCTGCCTGGCAAGCATGGGCGCTGAGTTTGATTCCTGGTAATAGCAACAACAATGACAAAGACAATGTCCTTAAAAAAATGGGCCAAAAAATATGAAAAGACATTTCTCTAAATATATGCACATGGCCAATATGTATTAGACACTCACCATTTACAGAAATGCAAATTAAAACCACAATAAAATACAGTTTCATAACCAGCATGACTATAATTTTAAAAAGAAAAAAAGAGGCCCCCTGCCGAGGTCATGCGGGGCAGCAAGATGGCACCTGCCTGCCAGGTTCTCCCGGTCGTCAAGCCACGTACACCATTTATAAGGTTCCCTGACAGAAGAGGCAATCCTAAACCAGTGTATCAGAAGCCTTGAGATCAGCAGGGATCCACCCCACTCTTCTGTGATTTCCCAGCCTTCTAAGGGGAGTAAATCCCCAGAGCTGCTGATGCAGCCAGGTCCACCAGGACTGCAGAAATACAGAAGGACACTAGTATCTCAAGGGGGAATGGAGTTTATCCCATGCGGAGGTCCAGATTAATGATTGTGGCTGCTGTTTGTCATCAACAAAAGAATTATCTTTATAGTGAAGGACTTCCGTAATGGAGTCCAGTTGTTTTTTGTTGTGTTTTGTTTTGTACCAGGAATTGAACCCAGGACCTTGAGCTTGCCAGGCAGGCGCTTATGCTGCTGAGCTAAATCCGCAGCCCAGGACTTTTAGAATGACATGAAAAGTTGTATATTAAGCAACCTTAATAAATATTCTACAAAAGAAAAAAAATACAGAAAATTTAGATGTGATTATATACTTGGTATTTATTAAAGTACACATTTGCAAATGTTAGCCTATTAATTTACTCTTAATTTTCAAGTAATACCAATGACAAACTAGGAAAAACATGCAATGTCTAGTGAGTAAATAAAGATTTTCTATGATCACACTTTTCTTTCTGATTCTGTTTAGAAATAGAAAAAAACTTAGTAGATACAATTACTGCATTAGGGAAGTGGTTTTCCTGAAATTAGAAGAGGATCAGCAAAATTACATCAACGTCATTCTTGATTCTGTAATGTTTTCTCATTCACAAAGTCACTGGAGTGAACTGGCTCAAGCATATCCTGTGTTTAAGTGAATAACTGATGACTGGGATGGAAACCTGGGAGACAATTTTTAAAAATGTACTTGTAACCTTGATTCAGGAAAAAAAAATCAGTATAAAGTGGAAAATAAGAGATCAAAATGAATGTAGATAGGAATAAAAATTTCACTGTAAAAATGCAAAAAAAAAAAAAAAAACCCCAAAAAATCCCACCAAGTGTTGGTGAAGACAATGGAGCCCTCATACAGTACTGGTGGGGATGTATAACTCTGCAACCACTTTTGAACAGAATGTGACACTTAACTAGGAAGTTACTGTGTGATCCAATAATCCTACCCTTTGGTATCTCGTCCTAGAAATGAAAACATATGTCTACACAGCAAATTGTACACGAATGTTCACAGGAGCATTATTCACAGGAAAAGTGGAAACAACCCAAATGTCCCTCAGCTGATGAGTGGTTGAACAAAATTTGGTGTGTACAATAGGATGTTTTTCAGCCAAAGAACCAATGATACAGGCAATGGCATGAATGACCCTTGAAAATATTATGTTAATTGTAAGGAGACTCTCAGAAAAAAACCTTAAATATAGTTTGGTTCCTCTTACAGGAAATACCTAAAATAGAAAAATCAATAAAAAGGAAGTGTATTTGTGGCTGTTTTAGGGTTAGTGGCCCTTGAGTTGATGACCATGCTCTGAATTGATTGTGTGATGGTTTTACAACTCTGAATATACCCAAAACAAAACAAAAGCTCACTAAATTGTGAGTGTGTGTGTGTCTGTGTGTGGTACTGGGGACTGACCTTATGGGCATTCAATCACTGAGTTACATCTCCAGCCCTTGTTATTTTTTAAATTTTGAGACAGTGTCTTTCCAAGTTGCCCAGGCTGACCTTGAACTTGCAATCGACCTGTCTCGGGCTCCTTGAAGCTCTTTGATTCTAGACGTGTACCACCACAGCTGGCAAGTTACACATTTTAAATGGGTGGGCTGTATATGAATTAAACCTCAATACAGCTGTTTTATTTTTAAAATTAAATCACCCTCTGACATATCCACTAGAAAATGGATTAGCCACCCCTAATCTTCACTGTGGCACATATAGGTAGCAGCTGGGCTGTTTAGTCTCATTGGACGTAGTGATGTGCGGGCCAGGGTACTTTTCTGGAGCAAACCGTGAGCTGCCTCACCGACGCGGTTCTTCTCATGTAGTTTATTTTCAGCTGTTGATCTCCAGTTTATCCCTAACCATTATAAAGAATTAAAACAAATCATCATTATAATAAAGTAAATGTAGGTAGGCACAGGAAGAAAATAAACTTGAATTTCCATAATTAAGACTAGAGTGGCCTCCTCCTGTCATGCTGTGGACGGACCAGTCACATCAGTTTCCACCGCAAAGGGTGACCTGGACTTTACATGAAGGACACCGGATGTGACAGTATTTCCTGCAAGTGAAGAGGAGACTGTTTGGCCTGTAGTGCAGATCATCACACAAGTCCAGCCTTCGGGAACCACAGACCTGCTTTAGCTGCTACTTTTTAACCAGAATTCTGAGGCTTTGTGCTGTCTTGAAGACCTACAATGGCTGCATTCAGATGAACAGGCTACTGCTAGTGAGAAACTTAACAGTTTATAAGCTGCTTGTAGGCTACAAGAACCATCCCACATTTGAAGGTTTCTTTGGGGAGCAGCTAGAACTACCTGTGGCACTAAGCCAGAGGCTTTTCCTGAATAAGGGTTACAGAGCAGGGAGTCAGCAGGATTTTACCCAGGAGTTGTCAGAGCTGCTGTTTCTTTGCTTATTTATTGCTTTTTTTTTTGAGGCAGAGTCTCATTATGTACCCCAGGCTGGCCTCGAACTCACAACAGACATCCTACCTCAGCCTCTGAGTGCTGGGATTACAGGCATGCACTGTCACTCCCAGTTAAAGCTGCTGTTTAGGAGAGGTGCCTGTGAGCATCGCATGCCACTCAGCTTTTCACGTGGGGGAGGGAAACTGGCTCACAGAAGACTTGTTCAAATAACGCAGTTTAACGATCGCAGACTTTTCTCTTATGCGCATGCGTAATGAGTTTTGAACTTGAACTTCAGGTCAGGGATCAGCAGACTACTGCCTGTGGACCAAAATGGCCAATGGCCTGCGTTTGTCAATTAAATTTTACTAGAGCACGGCCGCGCTGTAGGTCGTTAGTTGTCCGGGCTGCTTTTACCCTGGGGCGTGAGCAGAGAGAGACTGCGTTGTCTGCGAAGGCCTAAAATAGTCACTGTGTGATAGTTCACAGAAAAATCTTACCAACCCTTGCTCTCTAGGTTAGTGAGAAAAAAGAAAACCGGGTAACATTCCCTGCAACTTTTAACCTGATTAAATATCAGGGATGTGCGCTTGCCAGACAGGCACTGTGCCGCTATATCCGGGGCCCCAACAGGATTTTTTTAAACCTATTCGGTTATCTGGCGTTCCCGCTCACAATTTTTTTTTTTTTTTTTTTTTTTTTTGTATTTTAACGATACCGGGGATCAAACTCACGACCACAGGCTTGCAAGGCAGGCGCTTATGTCACTGAGCTAAATCCCAAGCATTTTAAACCTGGATCTCACAAGGCTCTTCAGACCTTGCACAAGTTGTTTAGATCTTTGTCCCGGTTCTGATTGAGACTCAGCGCCATAGGATTTACCTCCCACAGATGTGCATTTGATGTTACAGAGGCATAGTTAGTTCCAGGTTGGATTTTGCCATTTGTCTGAATCCTGAGTGGTTGTCTTAGATAATTGCTTCGTGGTAAATCCTAGGCATTGTCCGATTTCACCCTCAGTATTATAACTGATTCTCAGCCCCAAGCTCAGTGGCCCCTGAGGATTTGTATGTAACTGAGACCCAGCTGGGGCGAGGGTGTCCCCAGCGCCTGGTTCCAGGCCCCACAGCCACCATGTTATCTTTGATCCCCTCTCATCTGTGGAACTGAGCTGAGGTGTACTGCTCTCTTAAGTCTTGGCCAGTAATGTGTCATATGTCATGGGCAGTCTGCTGAGACTTCTGTCTTTGTTGAAAGCAAGAATGAAACAGTCTTCCCTTCAGTCTTTAGAAACCATTTGCTTCCTCAGGTCTGTGCAATATCTGCCCCTGGGTGATTTTACACTTCGAGGCGCCACTGTAAAATTTGGAAGTCATTTTCTGAGGAAGAAGAGTATGTGGAAGCTGGGGATCTGGGAATCCTCTAGAAGTGCTCTGTACCTGCCGGGATTTGCAAAGAACCGCTGTCTAGACGCCGAGCGTCCTCCTGGCCCATGATCAGCAGACCTGGGTGGCAGAGGCCGGAGGTGCTGCTAAGTCAGGGACATCGCCGAGGGTGCACTGGGGAGAACAGAGTGTTGTAGGCTGAGGCTTTCACCACTTGTCCTGTATCCAAATGAATAACAGGAATGATGGATTATACCCAGGAAATACCGGTTCACTTTTTATTGTGCTTGATTGGTTTTCTTATTTATAACGTGTTTTTAAAAAGTCCTGTGCTTTTTCTTAGTTACAGTGCTTTTTCCCCCTGTCCCTCCCCTCCCCTTCCTCTCTCTTTGCTCGTTCCTTCCTGGTCACCCGGCACAGTGGACAGGCTGAAGGGCCTGTACCCAGCCGGAAGCTGCTGGTCTAGCTGCTATGTGAGCTGTTCTCTCCTGTCTTGAGTCCTGGTACCTGTGGGTCTGCAGGTGTGCATGCGTACTTGAATTGTAAATGGAAAAGTTAAGAGTTGTGTATCTTTACAGGGTGCAAGGCAATGTTATGTTTTCTGAATACAATTAAATCAAGCTAATTGGCACATCTGTTTGATAGAGGGATATGATATCAGAACCTCTAAATGATATGGAAAATATTATAACTGCCAACCTGCTTGATGCCTAATACACTGTGTTCTCTAAAACTGAAGAATGAATTCTAGGAACAACAGAAGTTAAGAGCAGAAAGCTTTATTGAGGGATAGAAAGCTCCTGCCTGAGAGGGTCAGGAGGGGACACCCAGAAAGTGTGTTGCCTGAGGACCCCACTTCTTAGGGGAAATTTTATGGGACTCAGCTGCATGGGTATGTGGGTTACAGCTACGATCAACCAGTAAGAGTATCACATAGCTGCTTAGGTAATATTGATGCAGTGGGGGAAGCATGTAGCAATCAGGCATGGAGAGAACAAAGAGCCTCTCAGGTAGGTAAGGGACCTGGGGGGCTTGGTTGCCCCCTGAAGTGACTGATGTCTAGCGAGACTTTGTTAGATCAGGTATTGTCACCGATCTTACCCCTTGGCCTGGTCCTTTTGTCATTATCTTGAGACTTAGTCTCCAACTGCTATGTCTGTGTCCAGGTGTGTGTATATACATTTACATGTATATATTTCCACTATAAGTCTGGCAGTTCAATCTCAAAATATACTTTAAAATTGTGCCTACTCTACTCATTAAATTAAAAAGTTATTTTGGAGATGGTGCCTCACTACATAGTTCAAGCTGGCCTCAAACTTACAGTGATCCTCCTGCTTTAGCCCCCCGAGCGCTGGGATTACAGGTATACATCACCACCCCAGGAGATTATTTAATTGTCCTACAAATTCTAACCTTAGTCATCCATGGTGGGGGAGTTGTTAACACTCCTGGAGTGAGCACAATATTTAAGACGCCTGATTTGTGAGCATCTAGATTTTACCTTGGGTATTGCCTAAGAAATCTGGGGCTCACTGCAGTCGTGTGCTCCTCCTGCTGATTTACGGCTCCTAACTCTGCTGTACATGTCCTTCTGTTTAGGTTTCATTTCCAGGGACCTTGTGGGACAACTCTTCCCGAGGCCCTTGCTCCTCATGAAATTGAAACTGTTTAAGTGTCCTGGGAGAAGAAGGAAGAACTGGGCCACAAACAGGAGAAACAGTCTGCGGACGGTGAGCTGCTGTAGACCAGATGACCTAAAACCCTCCACTTCCTGGGCTGGAATCTAATGATTGCTGAATTAGTGGGCCTGGACGAATCGGAGAACTCTAAAGCTGATGCGTGTTTCTTACGTACTGAAATGTAAGTGTCTTACACTTGTGTTTGCTTACTAGGAGGGGTAGATTTGTAATGAGGTTCTCTTTAAAATATTAATTATCCTGATGTATTTTTCTCTTTGGAAAAGGTAGAAGGGTAAAAACCTGGCATTTAATCCTAATTTCTGCACTCCTGTTGATGCAAAATGGTATCATTGTCTACAGTAGGAAATTTATTATATAAAGATGTTACCCCAAGGGATATCTTTTTAAGGGCTTCTTTTCAGTGTTTACTTTGTTTGGCTGCCTTACCTCAAAGAACATGCAGTGATTTACAAGAACTCATGGGAGGAAGAAAAGAAGGGAGGGAGGGAAGTAAAAAGAAAGGAAAGAAGGGAAGAAGGAAAGCAGGAAGGGAGAGAGGGAGGAACAGTGTAGAAAATCAGGATGAGAAAAAACAATGCAAATAAGTGGATCACCCAAGGATGAACATGTGTCAGGTCAATGTGTCATTTTAATAAACCCAGAGGTCCTTTGCATATGAGTAACCAGCCAAGTACCCTGGCGACTTGATTCCCACACTGGGGTAAGGTCAAGGGCTGTGCGCCCAGACACAGCTTTAGAGCAGACTGAACCACCAGGCACTTTGAGTGTCTCCCTCCCTGGCTGCTTCTAGTCAACTGTAAATACTGCCCTGTCAGTGGTGGAAGGTGGCAGGCTGTTGCGGGGAGTTTGGATACCTTTCTGACTTGTGGTTTCTATCTGACCATGACCCAGAGGTTACAGACTTATTTGAGTACCAGCAACTTTGTTCTTGTGTTTTCTTTCTTTCCTTCTTCTTTTGGTACCAGAGATCGAACTGACCACAGTCTCGTGCTTTCCAGGAAGGCGCTTATGCCACTGAACTAAATCTCCAGCTCTTGTGTTTTCTTGTTAAGACAGTGTCACTATGCAGCCCACGGTGGCCTCGAACTCGCAGTGATTCTCCTGCTTCAGCCTCTGGAGTGCGGGGATTACAGGTGTGCACCACCACACCACGCCTGTTCTTGTTTTGTCATTACTGTTCATATTTGGTTTTGTCCTTTTTAGAGTGGGAATTGATAAATGATTAGCAAGACCTGGGCCTCACCCTAAAGCCCCAGAACGGCTGAATGATCACCCTGCACACTATTGTACAATGTGGAAGCTACAGTACGAGAAATTTGTGCAAGAATCAGTGAAAAGTGCAATTAGAAGATGGGCAGAGTGGTAATGGGGTAGGTGAATGTTGCTGGCTGGAATGTGGCCTCTCCAGTGGAAGGTTTTGAAATGTAAATAGGAGCGCTACATGGGAACCTGCGGTTATCAGTAGACGCAACAGCGCTAGGAGTACACGGTGAGTGGGGAGTGTGAAACAGCCTGGTGTGTGCAGAGGACGGCAGGTCATTTAGCATACATAACAAGGTGGAGGAGATAGCACCACGGAAAATCTACTTCGGGGCAGTAGCACACGCATGCACGCACGCACGCACGCACACACACGGGGTGCCCTGGTAAGGGAAGTGCCACTCAATTTCTTTCCGCAGATAGCACACTGGCCACGGGGCAGCCGCGAATCCAGGTTACCGGGTCAGCCGGGATCGGGGACCCCGCGGCGCCGGCACAGCTTCCGCGACAACAGAGTCGGACCGCCGGAGGGCACAGTCCGGTGCCAAGGCCTCTGGCCGGCGCAAGAGGGCAGCGGGGCCCTCCCGGGAGATTAGGAACTCGAGCGGGTGGAGCCATGGCACAGTGACTGGGCGTCGGAGCACTGGCCGGCACCCCTGGCCGCCGGGCGGGTGGCGGCCTCCGGACTGAGAAGGCAGGGCGACTGCTCCATCCTAGCGAGCCGGGAGGTGGAGAGCGCGCTCCTTGTCCAAGGCCACGCCCCCTACTCGGTCTGCGCACGCGCTGCCGCCTATCCTTGGCCTCCGAACCTGCAGGCGGCGATAAAATCCGATGGCGCGAGGTCAAGAGCGTCGCGGTGTGCTTACAACTGCTTCCGGGTCAGAGGGTCAGACGTTCCAGCGCGGTGCACACCATGGTGCAGCTCCGGCCGCGCGCATCTCGTACCCCGGCGTCGGCGGAGGCGATGGTGGACGAGGGCCAGCCGACCTCGGAGGAGGAGGCGGAGCACGGTCTGCTGCTCGGGCAGCCCAGCAGCGGCGCGGCCGCGGAGCCCCTGGAAGAAGACGAGGAGGGGGATGATGAGTTTGACGACGAGGCCCCGGAGGAGCTGACTTTCGCCAGTGCTCAGGCGGAGGCGAGAGAAGAGGAGCGGCGAGTGCGCGAGACCGTGCGCAGGTGCGGAGCCCGCGGCCGGCCGGGAGAGTGGTCCGCGCCGACTGGCCGAGCCCCTGGCACTCACTTGTCACCCCTGCTGCAGGGACAAGACGCTCCTGAAAGAGAAGCGGAAGCGACGCGAAGAGCTTTTCATCGAACAGAAGGTTAGCGGAGTGGGGCGTCTGCGCCTCCGGACACCCGGGGCCGGGTTAGGATTCCCGTGTTTGAGGCCGTTGGGCGAATGGGACTTGGGGTGGACAAGTCACTCATTTTTAAGAGGCCTGCACCCCTTCGTGTCCACCCATTGAAAATGGGAGAGAAGAGTTGTGACTGAATGACAGGAGCTAGGGTGCAGCTCTGACTCTCAGCGGCTGGCTCTACATTTAACCTCATTGCTTTCGCTTTAGAGAGTTTATTTAACCCGAAAGTAGGTTGCTGTGAGGTAAGGTGACCCGTAAAGTTGAACTCTGTACACATAAAGGTGTGATCGCCTTGCCTGGCACACTCGCTACACGGCCCTGACTTCGTAAATCTGACCTGAGAGGTGGAAACTTTTGGACCCCCTTCCCGCTTTTCACCCCGCTTCCCGAGGGTGTGGGCGAACATCCGGGTTTTGTGGCCCCAGTCTTCCCCTCAGCCTAAGATAGCGGGGTGGGGTGGGGTGGGGGGGAGGCAATGCCTAGCCTAATTCATTTATTTGCCTAAATAGACTGTCCTTAGAAAGCAGGAATTTAAGAAGTAACTCCAGCTCGATCTGTATGCATCCGTTTTGTTGTGATAGAATCTCGGTATGTAGTTTAAGCAGGCTTTGCATCCTCACTGATCCTCCTGCCTCAGCATCTTAAGTGCCAGGATTACAGGCAGGCCTTACACCCATGCACTAGCACACCTGGCTAGTACATCACTTCTAACTTACTTGTTTGTGTCTTTATGCTAAAAGAAAAGAAAACTTCTTCCAGACATTATTCTAGAGCAGTTAACTACAGCTTCACAGACTGGGTAAGTAGCAGAATCTTTTTGTATAGTCATGTTTAACAGACTGGTGCATTTATTTAACACAGATAATAGAAAACAGAGCCTAAATTAAACAGCTACACGTGGTATTTGAAAGGTGGAGAGGAATGGTCCACTTCTTTTGTCATTTGCCATTTCTTTTGTTCACTGCAGTAGGTTATTGTAGCTTCTTGCACTCCTGAGCCTAGTGGGTTCTGTGAAAATATTTGAGCACTTCCTGTAGTTAAGGGACGTTAGAGTACAGTGAGTGTTTTAAAGTTACTACTTAGTGCAATGACATTTATCCAGAGGCTTCTAAAACTCAGCATTTCCAGTTGTCTTACCTGCCACCAACCTGTCCTCCTGTTTCTTTTAGCAGCTTTGCCACACACCAGATACTGGGAATCAGTCAAAGTCCACCGGATTCGGTCATCTCCATAGCTGGGGTTTTTCCTGCTGACCCCTTCACTGCTTCCAGTTGAGAAGTTTAGCCCCCATCTACCCATGCCCCTGGGTCTCAAATTTTCAGTAACTGAGCCTTTGCTGGGTGCAGCTTTATCAGCTGACATTGTCTGTTGAGGCTGATCCTTGTCCCTTCATCTTTTTTTTCTCCAAGTATGAGACAGGCCTGCCATTTATTTCAGTTTGATTACTGCGTTCTGTATCTCATTCTTAAGTCTTTTCTATTCTAAGAAGATACAGCACTCTGATCCTAGGGTATTAAGTTTGTTGATGGGGAGTTGGTGACGGAGACTTGCTTTCTGGACTGAGGAAAGAGCTCAAGTAAAAGCTGAAGATGGTGGCAATGAAAGGGGGAAATTCTTCGTAAACTACATGAATTGTGTAACATTTTGAGTAATCTTCACTATCTGCCATTCCTATTAATGGTCTTTTATTTTTGCCTTAGTGCAAAGAAATCACCAGGAAAGCTGAAAGAAGGTATGAGCTGTTCTTATTTAAGTAATTTCTTGTGAATGTCAAGTGCCTTTGCACAATCTTCCATTGACCTCCCCTGGGTGAGGCCAGTTTGAGCTTGTCCCTGCTGTTTCTTACAAATAAAACTTACATCTGCTATTGGCAGGAACATTTAAAGTGAATTCAGTAAATGTTTCTGATTTACTTTTATGTAAATGCTAACTAGACAGTCTGACTCATTTTTTAGTGAGTTTACACAAGAAAAGAGAAGACTGTGAGAAAGAGAAGAAGGTGAAAGTAGAGAAGGTCCAGTCTGTCAGGTAGGCCCCCCCCGGGGGGGGGGGTTAAAGGGCCGCGGGAAATACTGCACTGCACATTCATCTGCTGTAGGGAGTCAGTTTTGCTAAATTATACATTTACTTACTGTACTTAGAATATGGATGTTAATCTACTTTTAAATAGCCTCGTAATGTGTCATTATTTGTATATAAAAAAATTAAATTCCACTTTTTATCACTGTTAGAAACAGCAGACAAAAATACTTTGGGAGCACACCTCTGGGGACGCAGCCAGCAGCTGTGGCGGGGCCCTTGGCCAGCACGTTCAGGGCCTGGGTTCAATCCTCAGCACTGCAGTGAACCCAGAACGCGTGCGCGTGGGGAGTGCTGCTCTGGCCGAGCACTTGCTTAGCATGGGTGCTTAGCTCTGGGTTCTGTCGGCAACCACCACCAGAGGAAAACAGTTAGAGTTAAGCTTGTTTGGCTTTTTATATTAATCACCAGCCAGAGAAGCTACGTAGCTGTGAGGCTGAAGGACCAAGACCTGAGGGACGCACGGCAGCAAGCAGCCAAAGCCTTCATCCGTGATTCCCTGTATGGTCCAGGAACCAACAGAACTACCGGTAATTTCTAATTGGCTGTTTTTCTATTTTTCTTATTCCTTTTACTGCAAAGAAAACAAGTAACAGATAATTCTCTTTTAGTGAATAAGTTCCTGTCTCTTGACAACAAGAGGGCACCAGTGAAAAAGGCTGCAGCCCAGTTTCTGAATAATGCTTGGGGTAAGAGCTTGATGCTTGGCTTTGATAATTTTAGTTTAAAATTAGATAATTAGATTAAATGAAGAGAATCTTGAAAAAATTTTAATTTCATAGTTTTTGAGTTTTAACTAATACTTAATAATTATTCTTATTCCATAAAACTTTCAATTCTAGGTGTCCAGAAAAAACAAAATGCGAAGCGGTTTAAAAGGCGATGGATGGTCAGAAGGATGAAAGCTTCTAAGAAGTAAATTAAAGCTAAATGAAAAAATCTGTACTTTGTGAAGAATTTTCAGTTATTTAATTTAGAGGATTAACCTCTAAAAGGCTCATTATTTCCAAAGTCTTCGCTCTGGGGTAGTAACTTGCCGAGTACCGGCCTGCTCTGTAGTCTTGAGGTCCTGAAAGAAAGCGTCTGTGAAAGCAGTTTTCCTTTTCATCCATGTAGCGGCACCAGAAGCCGTCCCCCTTCAGTAAGAATAACTCGGGTCCTCCCAATTGCTGGTGGCAGGGAGGACAGGAGCGTAGCTGTCTGTAATGTTCTTGGTGAGAGAGAGGATGCAGAGTCTGAGTGTAGATAAGGGTGTCTTGGTCCTAGAGAAAAACCAACTAATGCCTTTACCAAACCCAAGAGTGAATCTGATTTGTGGAACAAGCTGACCAAACTTAATGTCTGAGGATTTGCTTGATTGGCAAATCCTTGTGATAGTGAACATAAAGAAGTTCCTTGTTTTTGTGTCACACACACACAGTATTAGGTTGACCCTAACAGGGAGGCCAGAGCAGTGGAGGCAGTGTCAGACTGTAGAACTCAGAATGATGGTGGTTAATGCCATCGATACGAGTAACTTTTCTTAGGCCATAATTGTACAAATACTTAAAAGACACTCTTAAAATCTGTAGAAGTAAATTTTTAATGGCTGGTTAATTATATCACTACATTTTTATTGCAATATAGTACTCATTTAAGCACTTAAAAATGGAAGGTGTACAAAGATTAAATTAAGACACGGTAAATTACTAAATATTTGGTTTTTATATAAATAAAGGTCATAACCACACTGTTGACATGTAATACTGTTATAATACAACAGTTAAACTTTGTGAGTCTACAACAGAAGTCATCTGTAGTTAAACAGGAAACAAAGTTGAAAAAGACCATGTTAAAACAAAACTACTGGGACTAACAGGTCGGGATTGTAAGTAGCAACAAACATATTCACTCAGCTCCTGAGTATTTCAAGTTTTACAGTACACATTAAAAATGATTTTTTTCCATCAACACTATAAATTCAAACTGTCGGATGTTTATGCATTTTGCAAGTTACACTGATTGAATGCTTATATGGGAGTGGGGGTCGGAACATCTCCCATTTGAAGTTTACATCACCCACATGCTAACACAACACTACTTATTCCATTTCCTTCCCCCTCTCCCCCCCACAAAGAAGGCAGGAGTTTTTGGTTTCTTTTAGGTAATTGTTTTAAAGGATTCCGGATGATCAATTTGAATGTCTGAAATTCAGTAATATTTAACTCTTAGACAACTAAGAGGTTAAAGATGGAAAATAATTTCTCCTAACACTAAGTTAGAAAATCATTTGCATCATGCTGTAAACTAGGAAGCAATGTAAAGCGACAAAAACCTGTCCCCAGTACATAATTTAAAAAACTCTAAATCTCCCATCTGCAGAGCCGGTCTACTCCGTGTTGACAGGGTGCCACAGCACAGTGTGAGCCCGAGGTGCACAGCTAGTGTAGGTAGTCTTCCACTGTGGCAAACGCACAGGATCCAATTCCAGATCGAGCCATCAGTCCTAGACACTGCGTGGCCTGTCCCATTGCTAGGGCAAGTGGAGGTTGCTTTGGCAGATTGTGGGTTTCTGAGGAAAAAAAGATTAAAAAATGAAGATAGCAATTAGCGAAATATTTTTTTTAAAATCTCTCAATTGGGAAAATACCAAATTTCTTACACGATTATCTATGCCTGCCTAACTCGTAACTTGGTAGCAAAGGCAGCCTGATGCCTGGCCGTGCTGTGACAAGGTAGTACGGCCACTGGGTCCCCAACCGTAGAAAAGCTTGCAGGGTCAGATTTAACACATCATCTTTACTGTCTGTGACAGAATGAGCAGTAACAAGCACGTGTCTCGTACTCCCCTCTGCCGGACCAAGGTCAGTCAGCATTCACAGAAAAAGCACCACGTGATGGCCACTAAGGATCTGATGGGCGCTCCCACCTGGGCGCATGCTGGTGAGGCCCACTCAGGAGCAAGTGGTGATGGTGGCTGGTAGAAAACACAGCAAGGCCACCTGACAATTCTGGAGGGGTTAACTTAAAACTGATGGTTCAGGCATTTTTAAAAACTGGCAAGTTTTAAGATGCTACATACCACAAGTTTATCAGTTGTAGGAGAAATGGCAATAATTATCACAATTCCTTGCCAGGATGGAAAAATATTCATGGTGATAGTTCAACTAATCATGTAATTGAGAAGCTGGCAACCTTTGTAGTAACAGTATGTCCAAACTATGACTCAGTACAGTGACCAATCAGGGCTTCACAGGCACCGCTTGACAGCGTGCTGGGAGGCTACTATACACCCTGCCCACAATTCGGTGGTGAGAGAGAGAAGGAAAGTTTCCCAAAAGAGTGTAGCAGAAAATCAAAAAGCAAGTGAAGGTACACAGGGAAGTAAAACAGGAATAAGAACAAACAAAGGTACGAGAAGTATGCTTTAACTAGCTGCCAGTGGGGTAAGACTGACAAAACCACCTTAGTAAACACTGAAAAACAGTAACCTAAGCCAAGGTTCACAGAGAAACAAGTATCCTTGGTCCAAGGAAGTGAGATGTTCTCTGTCTTTAAACTTTTTGGACATAGGAAGTAAGATTTATGTACAATTACACACTGCACAGAGCTGAACCTATCTAATGCATAATATAATGCACAAACATACTTAAAACCTTGCCATTAGTTTACAAGTATTATATAATTTTAAAATAAGCACCATAGTTGAATCTGCAATATAGAGTGTATCTTGGATAATTCCTAATTCCTTTGAGGAGCACCCCCGCCAAAAAAACTGGCAGTCTCCAAATTTTTTACAAGTTTGATTGTTGCCTAGTAAATTGTATCTTCATGATTACACAGTGCTACAATTTGAAAGACAGTAAACCACAATTTTCCCCACAATGCCAGTTTTTATTTTTAATCAGTAGAGCCAGGCGGATTTTGTAGAACCAAAGAAAAGATACTAACTAAAAGAAATTCATTTTATTACATGCAGTTTAAGGAAATTAACACAAAGGACAGGAATTATTCCCAAATGTATTAGTCCTTAACCAATAATTAATGAACTTAAGAGCAAAGATACAGAAGGCTAAACACTTCCTGCTTCCTTCATATTCCTGCGGTGAGGGGCCTGGCCCTCATTCCCTGTCCCCAGAAGGGTAACTTAGGAGACTTGTCATTACTCTGTGACACTACCCTAGTTTTCCTCAAATAGTCGGAAACGTGACTAAAAGCTCCCAAATCTAAGAGCCAAGCGCACAGCACAGACTTAAAAACTGGCCTAGAGGCCCAGTTTACCCAGAGCCTTGTAAAAACTCCTCTAAAAATCACCTCTGAAGAGCACTCCCCCAGGGGCTGTTTACACAGCCTCACCCAGCCCTGCAGAGCCTGCGCTGAACCGGGCACAGAACCCACACATTGCAGGCCAATCCTGTGACCCGCAGGGTGGTCTCCTGCCTGCTGCCCCTGGCTAAGTCTTGCCTTTAAACTGCCTTCCTCTTCCTCAGCCTATTCTCCGGGAAGGGCCTGGAGCTTAGTGCAATTTAAATTTGATCCCAAGGATTGGTGGTGATGGGGTGCTCCAAGGGGCCCTGTGGGAACATGATGTGGGCAGCTCAGGTCACCCCTGTCGGGGGAAACACTGCCGGCCCGGAGGGGATGTGCAGGGTGCTCAGCCATCAGCCAGGGACCCTGCTGACCCCTTCCAGCCACATCTCACGCTCTTTTCCCTCCTTCACACTCTCCTTAAGCCAGCAAAGCCTCCAGAACTTTCTCTGAGTTTATCTGTTCCCTTCTAGGCTTGCTCTTGTGGGCCAAGGCTTAGAACCATGTTGTCATTAACACTCCAAGATCTTCACAGCAGCTGGGTCTTCTTAAAAGCCCAGGTTAAGGGGCCAGGGATTTAGCTCAGTGACGTAAGTGCCTGGCCAGTACAAGGTCTTGAGTTCAATTCCCAGTACCAACAAACAAAAACCCCAGTTCTGATCAACCTGCTGCAGAGAAGCAGGCCGGAACCACCACCACACCAGGCTGCTTTCTCAGCTGGGCCAATACAAGTTAACCCATTCCTCACCCACTGTCCCTGGCCCTAATCCCCATCTTCACCCTCTCCTGCAACTCTGGTGAGTCAGCTCCTGATGCCTTCTCACACAGCAGGCCGCCTTCAGCTCACACCCAGAATTCCCTCCAGTGCTAGAGGCAGAGTGTGGTCCAGCCAACTCAGTGAGCATTCGCACTGGTGCTCCCAAGTGCCAGCCTAGAAATGAGCGGCAGAAAATTCTGCTCTTTAGTTTTAACATAAGAACCACCAAAATATTCACCAAAACACAAGCAAGAACCACCAAAACATAAATGAGATGATTTATGGCTTACACTTCCACTCCTCTGCAGATGGTCACAGATGCTCCCCACCCCCACCCCTTAGGGTCCATTCAATCTGGATTTGGGGTAAAGGAGGAAGATTTCTGTATTTTAAGGTAGGTAATTTTATTTATGTGTGGCTGAGAGATGAATTCAGGGACTTGAAAATGCCAAGCAACTGCTCTACAAAACAGCAATACCAATCCAACTTTGTGTTTTAAAAATACAGAAAACAGCCAGGTGCAACTTCTTGGGAGGCTGAGACAGGAGGATTGTGAGCTCAAGGTCGACGGGTGATATAGTAAGAATCCCGTTTTTGAAAGTGAATGCGCATGGACATAAACATTTGCTTTATGATTTCATCAAAGTATAAATGTCAACCCAAATGCCTTCTCTCAAATCAGCAGAGATCCAGCTGAAGCTGTGCTTCTGGCTTTACTCACCTAGTATTGCACTGTTGAGGGCTGAGCACACAGGTTCCCTCTGAATCGGGTCAAGCTGATTTCCTACGGGGCTATTCCAAGGGTCTGAGTATGCGAGCAGACTGAAGGCATCCTGTTGAAAACAATGATGTGGTTTTTAACTCAAACAGTTCGGTTGCTACACTATGTTCACAATGGTTCTAACCTGAGAGAAAGGGATCGGCGGTATAGCTCAGTGGCATAGTGCCTGCCTGGCAAGTACAAAGTAGTGAGTTCAATTCTAGGTACCAAAACAAATAAATAAATAGAAAGTAATCTATGGCTTTAGGGCACTAGACTACTGTTTTGTTTTGTTTTTAAATTTTATTATTTATTTATTTGGGGGGTTGCCTTTTGTGGTACTGGGGATCAAACCCAGAGTATTTGAGCTATATCACCAGCCTTTAAAAAAAAATATTTTTTGAGGAAAGGTCAACTTGTTCAGGCTGGGCTCAAACTTGCAACCATCCTGACTCAGCCTCAGTGCTAGGATCACAGGTGTCCCCCACTGCCCAGCTAGACTAATAACCTCTAAAGCCAGCTACCCTGTATGTGGGATGCTCTATATTTTGAAATGCTAAACTATGGGGCAAAGCCTAGTTTATTATTCATATGAACAACCAACCACTTTTATTCACCTCTCTCATCCATTTCCCACTCTTACAACACATGGGCAAAAAAGCTGAAAACAATTTCAGAGGAATGAGATAATACTCAGGGAAAAGCAAAGCCTGAAGACAATGTATCATTTGTTACCAGCGTCAGGAACTCAGCCTGGGAAGGGTAGGGCTGGCTTCAGAAGGCAGAGATGGAGGGGTGCTAGACAAACGGTCAACTTGTGAGCTCAGGCCGCAGCACCTTCAAAATGCCGACTACTATGATTTCTAACGAATAGTTTTCTAGCTTCAGCCCCTCAAGCCATCAGATTCTACTCCTAGTATCCAATATTCCTACAGCAGCAAGGAGAAGAGGCCTCCGGGGCAGCTGTGCTTGTGCCCCTTTCCACCCAAAGAAGTCTCCGCGCAGTGACCACAGGAAAAGCCCACAGAGCTCGCCAAGTTGGTCCGAGGCTGCAGAACAGGGAAGGCTGGCGCCTGTGGGCCAGCACAGCGCTCTTCCCCGAGATTAGACAGCTTGGTACACCATCCGGTTGGTCTCCCGCCCCAGTGGTAATAAAGTTCTGGGAAGATGCAGTTATTTACTCTTTTGTATCCCCTGCAGCTACTCACAGGAACTGCACCCCAGAAAGACTTCATATATGGGCTGATAATGAAAACTACAGAGGGTTTCTGCATCCCACAGAGCCACCTGGCTCTGTTTGCTGTTCCCCACCTCAGTTCAAAGGTACCGTGGAAAGAATACATTCTCTGATACGTGTTGTGCACACATGTTAATGCCCCAGGATGAATGTACACATTAAGAGCTGCAAACACACACTAGTAAAAACTTAAAAACTAAAAGAGAAATAACAGATCCTGCGTCGTGTGAAGCTCACTCTGACTTTCTAAAGGATGAGCTGTGCTCAAGACCCAAGCCACCTCGTAACCATCCGATGAGGTGCTGTTACCAGTTAGATCATGAGTCAAGAAGGCAGAACAGCTGGCCTGCCCCTCCGCGGGGGACCTGTCAGGGGTGATGGGTCATCGCCCTTCTCCTTTCTCTGCTTCCTGGCCACCCCAGGTGGGCAGCTCTCCTGGCCCAGGCCTTCCTACCAAGGCTCCTGTGTCTGAGCCTGCTGAACACGGCCTGAGGCTTCTACAGTGTGAGCCACACTGTTCTCCTTCTTAAGCCTTGGACGTCAGGTATTTCATCCAGCAACCAGGACAGTGACTAAGGTGCCATCTTCACAGCAGAGAAAAATTTAAAGAGACGTACTGAAAAGCTGGGGCTGGGAATAATTAGTGCATAAAACTCTCCTCATGAGTGGACACCCGCACCCCACCACAAGGGGGAAAGAAATGCTGCAGTCTCAAATCTCAGCATCACACCCTCAAGGGTTTAAAATGTCACAGAAATAATTTACTGGGCACTAATATACATCATCTCATTTAATCCCTGTGACTTTCTGAAGCTGGAATCGAGCGGTGACAGTAAGATCATATACTATGCCATTTTCAGTAAGATGTAGTTTTTTTCCTTTAAATGCCCACCTACATGTTAAGAGGAACAAAACATAATGCAAAAGCTTTCACTACTTCTGTTGAAGACAGCTGCCAGCACCATCAGACAGACAATAATGTCCAGCACCTAGCCGCTGCTTTGGGAGCTCACACGGGCACATAAGGAGGCAGGCAGTGAATAAGCAACGTTTAACATTTTACTAGTAACTCAACAAAAATAGGTTTAGAGTACATGCAAACTGAGACTCAGTCAAAAGAGAGAAAAAGTACGGTCAGCACCTTGAGTAAGGAGTTAGATCCGAAATTATGCCCAAAATCACACTAAAAAGCTTGACACCTTTTCATCAAGGCAATGGGGCTTTAAATAAAGACAGTGATGGGTAGGAGATTTGGTTTTACTAGAGTCACACAACAACACTCTCACTCTTGGCCTGGAAGTAAAATATACCCAAAAGCAAGAACACCACACAATCTGTAAAGGAGACGAGAAGTTTGTATCATTCAGCTCCCAGTAAACATCTCGAACTTCATCTTTACAAAAGAAAGCAAAACCAGCAAATCAATGTTGTTTTAAATCCTGCTATAAAACTTAACTAGTCATAACCAAGGAAATGAAAATATGGCAATTTTTGGCTACTAGCAAATCTTCGCCCTCAAACAGGACTGAAGCGGTGGCGTCATCACGGCTGGTTAGTCGGAAGTTTCCGACAGCGAGGCAGCAATCAATAGCAAGGTCACAACAATATCTTATCTTTTGACTCAATTCTATTTCTAGGACTTACTTCACTGGAATGGTTAAAGCACACAAAGATACACGTGTACCACGTTAGTAAAGCGCTGGACCTAAGAGCAAACGGAAAGACGCAGCAGAGCAGCGTGTGAGCCGACACCGCACCCCACCGAGGGTAGCCGTCAGCTTTAAGGAGTGTACAGCAACGCTCAGAAAACAGAGAAACTGCTCTTTTTATCGAAATAAGGCAAAACCGTGTCACTAGAGTTACTACGTAAAATCTACAAGCAGTAAGGCACAAAACTCAAACTATCTGAAATGCTGCTAATATGGGTTATGCTTCATTTACTGAAAAAGTCTGTGGAAATCACTTCTGAGGGAAATGTGACATCGTTTAGGTAGGATTCTCACACTTGGCTTAGAATCTGGAGCAGTTTCTAAATAGGGTGAATCTAACTAGTTCTATTTCTGTTTTCACTGCCTGATCTACAAAGCTCCTGGGGCTGGGGCCGGGGCTGGGGCTGCGCACCCCGGCCGACTCCAGCGTGCCTGTTACGAGGTCTTGGCACACTGCACAGCTCACAAAACGGGCACCGCACAAACCAATGCGGCAGCCTCGTGGGAGCTACTAGCAGAACTAAGCAGTAAAAAGAAAAAGACAAAAGGAAAGAAGAAAAGACTTAAAAAGCAAGAATGAAGAGAAACAGCAGGCGGTCCAATGCTGCAAGACTCCCTGCCCATCTGTAACAGCAGTGGTCACTCACGGGCTGTGGACTGCTGGCCACTCTGCAGGAAGGGGAGGCAGCACATGCACACACGCGCGCACAATAAAGCAACTTAGGTAAACCTCACAACCAAGCAAACCATTTTTCACATACGTGCAGTCATGCCTCAGGCCCTCCACAGCGACAGACCACAACACAACCGTGGTCCCTGGAGAGCATGATGAAGCTGAAGGATTCTTATCACCTAGGGACAGCGCAGCTGCTGTCACAGTGTGCACAGTGCCAATGCTTATGTGTCTGTGGTGACACTTGTGTAAACAACCTCCTATGCTCCCGGTCATATACAAGTAGAACACACACAATCATGGACAGTACATCACAGGAGAAATAATACTACAATAATAATACAATAATAATAATAGTAATCCATTGTGGTGCCACAAGCAAAGCATATATTCACATTACGTGGTCAAGACGTGTGGTAGGCGTAAAGTCACAGTACAATGCTTGCGTGATGACAAAATCTTACGGTTAAGCAACACATCCCTAGACATATTAGCAGAAACTTACGCAGATCCCAAAACATTAAAGATTAAAAAGAAAAATCCCTACAATTACATGTGACCCTAAGTGAAGAACAGAACCTCCCCTATAGCAAAAAGGATTTGCAGTTAGCCCGCAACTCTTGCAGTCTTGCTCCCTGGCTCCTGTGGTTCTATCACAGTGGGTCTATCACACGCATCCTCCCCACTGGGCCACGATAAGGCCCGGGAAGGCATGAAGCAGCTCCGAAGAGGAAGTCTCTGCAAGCAGCCGGCAGATGCTTAGAAGTCAGACAGGCAAAATCAGCCAGCCAGATTCTTCATATGAAGATCAATCACTGCTCCACATAAGTCAGTGTATAATCAAAAAGTATCTTTGAGGACTGGCCATGAAGCACTTTCTGAGCTTCATGCAAATCAAAATCAAAGACCCAGTCAGCTGACAGAATGATGGAATCTTAAACTTTTCAAAGATCTACATATAAATCGCACGTTCCTTCATCCTACTCACTTTGCACGAAGCTTTACAAGGGAAACTAAGTCAGACGACCTAGTGTAAGAAGTCAAGAATCCTTAAAAACATTTCGTATTTCCAGACACATTATCTCCTATCACAGCAGTTCTCAGCGTGTGGTTCAAGACCTTTTCTCAGGGGGGCGGTGACACCGAAATTGTTTTCACAGTACTAACATTTACCTTGCCCTTTTCACCTTCATTCTCATAACCAGACAGCCGAGAGTCTGCAGTACAGGACGTGGGATACTCCGACAGATTGGGTGCAGGAGGAGGTATGAGAATCCAGCTCATCCTCTATTACACCAAGCACTAACAGATCTACAAAAACATAAGGCAATGCTACTTCTCATGGTAGAGGGGGGGTGTTCATAAAAAAGTTACTTTATGGTTTCATTTTACAATCGATTGTTTTAGTTTTAACTTTCAATATGGTAAGAAAAAAGCAGTCCATCTAATCCATTTTAACCCATATAAAAACTCTCTGAGAATCCTTAATAATTTTTAAAGGATTCAGACACCAAAAATTAAGAACCACTGCCATAAAACACCCTTAGTACCTAACTAAGCAGTACTGTTTTCCAGTGGAGATTTTAGGCACCTAAAATAACAAGCCTACGTGTTGTTTCTTTGTAGACCTCTTAGTATCTGAAAAAGTTGTTAAATATTCCACAGTAATGCATATAGGAGCTATTTCTTAGTGGTGATGTACACATTAAAGAAATATTTAAAAGAGGGAAGGTTAAGACATAATCTGAATTTAAAGAAAATCTTAATCTTTCTAGGACAACGACAAACAGCTATTTTCCAGCAATATGACTGCCTCCTTTAATTGCTTAGATTGAAATGTATTTCAATTCCATTATCCACCAATTCCTTTCTATTAGCACTGAAAATTCAAAATTTAACTTTCTTTTTTTGTATCTCATGGTCACTATTAGCAAACGAGGTACTAAGTATGGTGAACAAACTCTCTCACCACAATTCCTGAAATCCCAAAGCCTTGCGTGGGAGGTGGTATTAAAAGTGGCTCTTTAACCTGCCCAGACTGTGTAGATCTGTTCCAGCCACACAAGTGCCACACAGCTCCTTTGCAGGGAGGCAGTTGTCAGCGCACTGTATTAGGTGCCACTTGATGCTGCTGATTGTGACTCAGGTCAGGAAGAGACGGCAGTGTTCTCTGCCCTGCAGATGCTGCTTCTAAAGCAATCAAGTTTACAGTCATTCAACTCTGAAAGACTCCTACATCACTTCAACTAATAGCAGCTAACAGTAGTCTGACTTAATTAGTCGAAAAACTTTCAACTGATATACAAACTTGTGGCTAACTTGCTGAAGTACTAAACTTTTATCCCTCTTACTATCAATCAAGGACACCAACTTGTAAGAGACTTTGAAACATATTTTAACCATTCTAGCCATGAAAACGCCCTAATCTCTCATTGATTCTGATTAAAAACGAAAACCAAGTGCATCACATTCAGTTTGCTGCAACCTTGAACAATGTTTACTAAAAGCTATTTCAAATTTACAGTTTTATCAGCACATTCACATTTCTCCCAATTACACAGTAACTCTGCCAATTATACAGCTGAGAAAACAAAACTAGGAGTTAAAGTTAGCTAAAAAGGACACGCGGCGCTCACATGTAGCACGTTTTCACTTGGAATCCAGAGCTCTTAATCCCACGACATCTTCATTCACAAATGGGCGAGAAGCTGGCACTGGTGGAGAGCTCAGGTCTAAGCTCCCCTGCATAAAGCTCAGTGTTGGGACAGAGTTGCACCTCAGTCCTGCAATGCCGCAACAAGGCTGGCCCCGGTGCAGCAGCTGGGGTCACGGCCCTTTGGAAAGTGACTTGGTCAGAGAGCTCTCAGCTCCCACTCCACGATGGCTTCATCCATGGACAGCTCCACGGCCCACTGGGCTGCTTCGGGGTGGTGAACCTAAGGAGCGGGGCCTGGCTGGGAAAGCCGTCCCCAGAGGCAGGTCCTAAAGGGCACACTGCGTCCCTGCACCTTCTTTCTTTGTTTCCTCCACCATGCGCGCCCACCAGGACCTTCGGCCTCCCCTCATCCACAACCAACCACGTCCAGTCCAGCTGAACCCAGCAACTGTGCCCCGAGGGAGCTTTTCTCCTCTGATTTTTCTCAGGTGTTCTGTCGCAGCAGCAGAAAGCTGACACACTCACCTTCAACATTTTTTTATTTGCCGTATTCTTGCCACACTCTCTCCTCAGCTGTTCACTCATGGCTTGCAACTCTCTACCGAAGTGGATCATCCTTTCTATGGCGGCCTGGCTTCCTCCACACAGCTGGCGTCTTAACTGACTGGAGTCAACTTCTGTAAGCAAAACAAACAGGTTACCACCTGCGAAGTGAAGAAATGAACTAGTGTTTCGGAAACATTTGAATACCGATTTAGTAACTACTTCATCTACAAGTGCAAATTTAAAACATTTAACATGAACTTTGTAGCTAGCAGCAGCAGCATGTTTTCTGGGTCTGGAGTATGAGATCAAACATCCAGCGTGTGGCCAAGAGATGGCCCCTTTCAGTCCTAGCATGGATCTGGTACTTCAGGGAAAACTTCATAAAAGTTACATAAAATTCTCTAAAACTGTATCAAGCAATATTTAAAAAGTAAAATTAAAACAGAAATACTGCCTCTCAGGCTGCTTTAACTGACAGAACAGAGACAGAATAAAATGGAAGATGAAATGCTAAATGACTCCAGCAAAAAAACAGAAATACATTTTTCCAAATTAAAGAGTTAATTAAACTACTAGAAAAACATTACCTTTACAAAGTACTTTCTATATCTGATTAACAATGATAACCATATAAATCACTACTAACAAATCATTTGTATGATGATGATGATAATGGCTAACGTTTACTACATACTTCACTACAAGAAAAACACAATTTCATCTTCACAGTGACCTAAGAGACAGTTATTTTACCCATTTTACAGAGGAAGAAACTGAGACACAGAGCACTTAAGTACTTTGTCCAAGGTCAAACTGGCTAGTAAGTAGCAGTTGCAGAAACCAAACCCAAGTCAGCTGGCTCTAGAGCTCCTGCTCTTCATACTGATGTTACTTGACTAGTGAGGGTGAGTTTCCTGATTTCTAGCAGAGGAGAACTTGGCTGCCTTTCTAGCAATTTGAACAAATACATTTTAACTGGAAAATACCAAGAAATGTATTGTTGCCAAAGAATTCTAAGAAATCATTTGTAAGTATTGATAACTTTTATATTCTCCATTTTGTGAGAATGTTGGTTGATGGTTTCAATTTAAGGTATAATCCACTGCATAAATTTTCAACAAGATAAAAGTATGTACATGAATATATCCTGAACTTTTTTGCTAAAGCAGGGGAGGCCACAACTGAGCACTTTCTACATGCTAGATAATACTATGCATCATCACACAGTTGTATTAAATGCATTTAAGAAATTCTGTTTAGGGGCTGGGGATTTAGCTCAGCGCCATAAGCACCTGCCTTGCAAGCAGGCAGTCGTGAATTCCATCCCCGGTACCGGAAAAAAAAAAAAAGAAATTCTGTTTGATCAATGATTTGTAACATCTTCTCTACTCATGTGTGTGTCTACAAGTTCCTCACCAGCACCCTGACGCTCTGCTGCATGCACCACAGCACTGACGCTGAGTGAAGCAAACCATCTGGCACTTCAGAAGGAAAAGTAAGTCTAGTCAAGTAAGTCTACTTGCTAGCAATCCAATCTCAGAAGAAACTTTAATATGCATTTAATTTTAAAATTTGACTTATGCTCATCAGCTGTGAATCAGTACAAGTAAAAACATAACCTTGTAGCCATCATTTTTTATTAAAAATGTAAGAAATATCACTGCAGACCCATTTCGGTGTCACAATCTTCCATTTCGTGGTCATGTTTAGAGCTACCATTTAGGAAACCATTGGATGAAGTTTCTCCAACTCCATTGGAGTAGTGATCTGTTTCCATGTCTACATCATTACTGAAAACGAAAAAACAAACCTAATTTTAGAAAAATCATATTTACAACTTAGTTTAAAATAAATTGCTACTCAACTACATGTCCTGCTTGTAAACTAACTTGTAAGGCAATGGCAGTCTGCAAAGAAGGCATTTATTTAGTTATATTTCAAATCATTCAAAGCCAAACATGTGCCTGACTTTTAACAAATCCAGAGCCCTGGAAGTTAAGGGAGAAGTACAAACCGTACAGAACTTTATGACTCCACATCCATACAGAAAAACTATACTTTGGCACAATACTTTTGTTTTTCAAGCTCAGACCTACTTCCTTCTGAATCAGCTCCTGCCCCAGAATCTCCCCAGACAACCCCTCTGCTTCCAGCAGTTAGCTCCGGAACAGAAGGGAAGAAACCTCTCTACAAACTAACTAAATGAATCCCACTCCTGGAACCCACTGCACTTTTTTTTGCCCTCATCTTCAGCACACTTCTAAATATGCTTTCAGCTTTAACATTTTGGCCTTTGTCTTTATGATTTAAAAATCCAGACACTCAAGAGGCTGAGGCAGAAGGATTACAAATTTGAGCCCAATCTGGACAACTCAGCAAGGCCTTGTCTCAGAATAGCCAGGCTCGGTTCAGTCCCCAGAACTACAAACCAAAGAAACTCTCCCAAAGGTAAACAATTCTTCCAGAAACTGCCCCGCCACACCCGCCACCTTCTCCGCACCTGGCACTGTGCAGGCTCTACTGGCCAGCACTTCTATCGTGTTGGCCAATCTTCACTTGTACTATTACTTGTTTTAGACACAAGTCTGCCAAGTTGCCCAAGCAGAACTCCCAATTCTCTTGCCCCATCCTCTCTAGCAGCTGAGATTACAGACGCATGCCCACTGCACCTGGTCAACAGTGTCATTTTAAACTGTTGTCATGGAGGATATCTGGACAGTCTGCAATTGTCACCCAAAGACTGAATGCCACCTTTGTGCCAGCAGCGCCATACTGAGGTATACAGTACTTAGCATTTAACTGAAGTTTGCAATCTATGCCCTTTGAGATCCAACCACACGTTTCTAAACAACAGTAAATATCTTTCACACTTTCAAGACTCAGGTAATAGTTATGCAATGAAAAGCTAGGAAATGTTAAAATAAGAATGATGTTTCTAAAGCAAATATGTACTTATTTGTAGAAAAAATACAGACATTGTATTTATATATGTATAAATGTGTTATTTATTTGTAGACAAAATTAATACAGACACCATTAGCTAACACCCTAGGCTGTGTGTGCACTCGGACAGGCAAGTTTGTAAGCTAAAGACATCTGTCTGGAAGACAGCAACACGGGCCCCAGAACTCCAGACCAGTCTTAGTTCATCAGAAAAGCGTATTTATCATCTTGACAAACTTTGAGAAATGCTAAGAAATCCCAACTTTACAAAAGTCTAATAAAACCTTTACTATCATGGCTTTGATGGTTTAATAATGCACCAAATTCTTTCCTAAGGAGACAACTCAGTATCTGGGGGGGACTCTGCCATTCACAAGCATTTAAGGCTGCGGCATACACTGCTTGGTTCTGTGGGGATTATGAAACAGCCTCTGTCCTCCTGGAGCAAACACAAAGCTTGTGGTACTTCGCAGTGATTACGGTCAGCATTATGATGAAAGTTTAATCGCAAAGTTCAATTCAACATGTGTGGGGATGTGACCCAAGTAAAATACTCTAGATGTGACATCTGAACATAGGCTTTGCAGTCTGAGCAGAAGTTAGGTGGAGGTATGGGAGGGCAAGGGGAAGAGGAGTTCAGATACAAGGAAAAGCACAAGTTTGCAAGTCCCAAATCCTGGGAAGGAACTTCAGCTCTGCAACTTACTGCCTACTAATTATTGACCTTTAAAAAGAAAGTCATTTTCTAGTATTCAGCTCTACATCTGTAAAATGGTTTAATTAATGCCACTCACCGAAGGAAAGCCATTACAAATCACAAAATAATTCTTTAACTGTTTAGCAGCAGTAAGTAATTCAGAAGTTTATTCGCTTTCCCTTCCCTGCTGGACAGAAAGGAGGATGCTGGGTCACCAGCCCTCTGGTAAGCTGAACTCAGGTCACGTCTGTTTAACAGCTTCCCGCGATGAGGTTAGGATTTAAGAGAAAACCCCCCAAGTGGACTCTAACCTTACTATCTAGCAAAGGGAACTCTCTATGAATGATAAAGTACTAAAGACTTAACATTTAAAAAATTCTGTTCATAATTTCTTTACATAATATTGTAATTTTATATTTCCCAATATGTCAGCTTCACTGTCAAAAGTCACCCCGACCTTCTCAGCAAGCCAGTTCCTTTCCTGATACTCTCTGACCACTTTTGTGGTCCTCCATTATAACCTGCAACCCAACAGCACTTCTATAAATTTTTGTCATATATGATGGAACAATAGATAACCTAGGAAGTCTGATTAATCTCCAAATTTTCAGACTCCTCTCTGCAGAACATTTCAAGTAAGCTTCTATGCTAAAAATTAGGTTCTCTCTTCCTCAGGAATGAAGTGCTGCACTGATGAAGATTTCCATCAAACCAAATGTGAACCAACTGGTTCAAACTCTAGGACAAAACCAGTGTCTGTTGACGGAGATGCTGAATAGCTGGACAGACTAAATGCACACAGATCGGGATTTCTAGTACTCATGAATATTAAACCTAAAGACATCAATGTTTACAGATAGGCTTTCAAAAAGGATTCTGTGTGAAGCTAGATACTCTGAGCTCAGGAAACATTTTTCGTACCACATATTTACTTCCCAAAAACACATACACAGAAAAACTAGTTCCAAATTTTCCTTCAATCAGAGAGGTTAAATACACTATTGTGTCTTTACTTGAAAACAACACTTGTGTGACCATCTGGACAGGTCTGCGGCTGGCAGGAAGACGATGGGCAGCCTCACCCGAGGGAAAGGGGCAGGAGAAGAGTAAGCAACTAAGGACAGAGCCCACATGCAGACTAGCAAAGCAAACAGCTTTAGGGGACTGATTCTCTACCCTTTTACTCTTGGGGCTTGGGAACCCCCAGACTTGTAGTATTAGTCATAGAAGTTCTTTCAAAGTTACTAACCATGATGGCACCATGAAGCCGTTGGCTTATCCTGATGAGAAAGCTCAGGAAATCACTTACCTGGTGAAGTTATTAACTTGCTGTGACCTTGACATATTTATACTGTTCAGTTCTGGTACATTCAAGTTAGATGACTGGTGTTTACTATGGCAATATGATTGATGTGCTTTATTTGATATTATACCATTACTACAACTTTCAAAACCTGGAAAATAAAGAAGAATACACCACATGGTAATAGAAACAGCAATTTATTGATTAGGTTATAAATACTGTCCCCATTACCCTGATTTTATAATGAAGTCTATTTAGACACTGAACAGTATCCCCGAGAGGAAAAGAATGCTCCACTGTGAGCCAGTTATTCCATCTTCTAACATGGAGCTTCATTACGAGTCTCACTCAATCCTCAACCTCTTCCTATGAGGGCAGTGCAGTCATGCACTGTTGGATGACTCAACACTGTGCTGCAAGATACAGTATATGTGCACACAAGCCTAAAAGATACAGCCTAGGAACACGCAGACTATGTGGGACAGCCTATTGCTGCTAGGCTATGGACATGGAGAGTGTGTTGCTCATTTGAATACTTACTGCAGACAGCTGGAACACAATGGTAGGCATTTGTGTATTTAAACATAGAAAAGGTACAGTAAAAAATACTATGTGATAGGAATTTTTCAGCCCTGCCTGGTATAATTTTATAGAACTACTGTCCTGCATAAGATCTGTCACTAACAGAAATGTTATGTGGTGTATTATCTCATGAATACATTTTACATTTGGATACACCAAGGCTCTGAGTTTGGTCAGACCTGAAGTGACTGTAACGTACCTGACAGGGCTGGTTTAGAACCAGACATTCCCTTGCACAGGGCAGTAATGTCAGTATACTGAGAGACGGCAGTGCAGAAAGTACACACTGATTGTGAGAGCAAGCAGAACTGTTACTTTATGAAAGAGAAGACTTTTATCTGACCTGTTTTAGAAAGTTAAATACACAGAGTAAAGATACCATGCTGGAAACAGTCATCAAAGAAATAAACAAAAAGAAAAGAATTGAAAATAGACCCATAGGAGTGACGTACAGCCAAGAAGGGAGAGTTTTAATTAAGTGAACACCAAAGCCACAGAGTAAGGCTGCGATGAGAAGAGAACATGGTACTAGGTAGAAAGCACACTTGCAAGAAGACACTTGAACGCACAGGTTGGTTTAATAACGGTGTCCTAAGGTACTACAGCCAGATCGCCTTTACGTTCACATGTCATCCAAACACACCATTACCTTTCTAATAACAAAGAGCAATGATTTAATTTCAGTGAGAACTCCTTTTGAATGCTGGCACTCGTTTATGAAGACTGAATAAGCTATTCTCAGAAACAGCTCTCTGAGTTACTGCTCGGTAATGACAACATACATCTTTGAGTCTACAATACTTTATCCAAAACATCTTGGAATTAAGTACACACAATTGCAAAACAGCTATTTAGAAATTGTTTAGATATTAAAAAGAGTTTTTTGGCTCAAAATTCTAAAAAAGAGGTAATAGTTTAAGGGTCATTTCACAAGACTAAATCTCACCAGAAAAATGTGCGGCACTTCCTTTGCCTGGTGCTAAATTGTGGATGTTCAGTCCGTGGCTGGGGCTCATGCTTGGGCTACCAAAAGGTCGAGGACTAACAGGGTAACTGTCTTGAGATTTTGGACTTCGGCCTCCCAAACACCGTACTTCACTATCTGTACCATTCACCATTTCTATAAACTGACGCACTCTAAAAGAAAACAGAAAAATTTACTTAGCTGTAACCTTCAAGTACCATTTTGTTTATGTAGTACCCACAGATTTCTGGAAATATTTCAAAAGCTTATTATCAAGGTAAAAATCAGAGTATTTGGCAAAAGATAAAAATAAAAGTATATCTCCTGCTATAATAAATAAAACAAAAATGAATCCTACCATTAAAACCTAAAAGTAATTTAATCTCTAATATTTACTCTTGGTGGCACGTCAAACAGCACGGAAGACACACACAAGAGGCACCCCTCAGCCTTCCTGTCCAGGCACTATTCCCACCGCGTAGCCAAAGTGGGCCTTGTTTTCACTGTCACTAGGAGCAAAACAACTGTCATTTCACTTCAGAGGGTTTATGTCGCTCACAAGAGTGGACATTTTAAGTTCAGTAACATCTGATTATTGAAAAAATAAAAAAGATTTGTAAAACTAATTTTAAAAATCCCCACCAAATCCGAGTGGCTGTTGTCTGAACAGGAAAAAGCGAGTGTTGGTGAGGGTGCTGTGGAATCAGACACCTGCGCTTGGCCGGCGGGAGCAGGAAATGCTGAGCCCACCCAGGAAGACAGAGCGGCGCTTCTTCAACACACAAAGCATCGCCGCACAGTCCCGCAATTCCACTTCTAGATGAATAAATGAAAAGAAGTGAAAGCAAGAACTCCAGCGGGTAACTATGCACAGCAGAATCACACACAGCAGCCAAGAGATGGAGCCACCTAAGCGCGCCCCCACGGAGAACACGCAGTGTTGTTCACTCCTCCCTTCCCATCAGAAGGGAATGCTGGCACACGCGACAGTACGCTCAACACTGAGGGCGTTATGGACAGTGACCACACTAGTCACACAACAGACACTGGCCTGCGGGAGAGGGAAGAAGGGAGAGGGCGCTGTCTGCTGAGCGTGAGCGTCAGGTGGGAAGCTGACGAAGCTCTAGAGATACACAGCGCTGATGGCTGCACAAAAAACGGGAATGAACTGAGCCACACAGAACTTCACACTGAAAAAATGGTTAAAATGGTGATATACTTGACCACAGTTTTTAAAATGCTACAAAGTTACTATAAGGTACTTTTCAAGGTAAAAAATAAGACACTCAACTTCTCAATAAAACCTTTATATTTTTACACAGAAACAGAATAATTAAAGAACATAAAGATCTGGGTGGGGATTTAGCTCAGTGGCATAAGCACCTGCCTTGCAAATGCACGGCCATGAGTTCGATTCCCCATACCAATTATTAAAAAAAAAAAAAAAAGAAAAAGACAAGAGCATAAAGATCATACACAGAAGACAGGACCTGCTAACAGTCTTTAGAACAAAAGTGGTTTTGTTTTGGTTTGGGTGCTGGGGCCTCACACATGCATCAGAATAAGCATATGCTCTACCACTGAGCTATACCCCAAGCCCCCCACTCAATTCTTTTTTCTTTTTCTTTTTGGACTTCTTGAGACAGAATTTCACTAACGTAGTGCAGGCTAGTCCTTTTTTTTTCCCTCTCTTGGTACTGGGGACCGAACTCATGACCTCATACCTGCCATGCAGTGCTTATGCCACTGAGCTAAATCCCTGGTCCAGGCTGGTTTTGAACTCATGGTGATCTTCCTGTGTCAGCCTCCCAACTGCTGGGATTACAGGTATATGCCATTATGCCCAGCTCCCAAAATGTTTTTGAAAAACCCATTACTTAAATGGGCTACAAAACTGTATGTAGATATTTGAAACAAGGTAAAAAAAATTAAAAGTTATGGAAGCATAAAAATGATTTTAATGATATAACACAACAAACGTCATATATGAATATAACATTTTATTAAACTCACTTCAATGTGAAAAGGAGATTGGGATTTCTTTCAAGTAAACTTGGATATAACTGTTGTGTTGTTTCAATGGCTTCCCCCATTCTTCCTGCTAAAACCAATTTTTGAATTCCTGTTCAAAACAGAAAGCAAAACATTAACTTCTACAAAAAGAGAAATATAAACCAGTAAAAAGATTCGGCAAAGAAAGCCCTTAAAATAAGCTGTCCCTAATTTCTGTTTCTTTGAGACACAGCCCTTGCTATTTGTTCAGACTGGCCTTGAACTACGTAGCCCAGGCTGGCTTGCACTCAGGAATCCTCCTGTCTCAGCCTCCCTAGTGCCACCATGGAAGCTCCTGATTTGTTTCCTTTCCTAAATCAGTTTCCATTAGGCAATTCAAGGAAATACTTCAGACATATTAAAAAATCAGAAAATAAGTACTTTCCCAAACTATTTTTTAAAAATCATAAACATACAAGTAATACAAAAAACACACAAATATTAAAATTTCAAACAGTAATACTTAGAAACTACATTTTTGAAGAAATAATACATAGTTAAAATGATTAACTGGATTTTTTGAACATAGTACTAGAAAAATATTAGCCTTTAAAGAAGAGCTGAAGTTAACACTCATCAGTGTTCACCAGGGGGCAGGCACTTTGTTAAGCTAGAAGCTAAGGGCACAGATGAGCAGCAGCCACCACATAGGACTTACCAAGGCGGTGACAGTGAAGCACACGATGTGCTCCAACACCCGCGATCGGTGCGAGTACAGCAAGAGATCTGCACAGAACAGTGTCCCCGCCACCACGGTCTGCCCATCGGCTCCCGTGTCACCGCTATCTGCTCTGCCAAGAGGTCACCCCCGCCCCCCGGCCGCTGGCCCGGCTGCCTTGCCTTTATTAAAAAGGCCTGAACACGGGGACAGCAGTGAACACTCACACAGTCAGTGCCACCTCACATTCCGTGAGCAAACTGCAAAGCTGTTTAAATGTCTTTCACAGGTTATCTCCACTAGTTCATCAGAACTGCAAGACTACTTGAAGCAAAATAAAAAATCCTTTTTATTAAATGTTATTGTTTGAAAGCTTAAGATTTTAAAAAGGAAACTGGCGAAGGTTATTTCTTACAAAAATTTGTACAAAACTTTATCTCTGCATGTAGAACTCTAATGTAGTCCTATAATTTTAAAGCCACTCTTACAAGATATCAATGAAAACAAATTTCAAAGGCATCCATTTTAAAGTAATGTACGTAAAAAGTTTCATTTTAAAAAATTTCTACAAATTAAAGTAACCAAACCTATCATACGAAAACCACCATTAGACCACACACAGAGTGTCCTTACTTTGTCTATTCTTAATGGAAGCTAATTCTTCTAGAACCGTCTGGTCTGTGGATCTGGCAAAGGCCTCTGCTGTGGCGCAGTACCCATGGTGGACCAGGTAAGATGAAACCATTCTTAAAGAGAAGAAGCATCTTTTAGTAAAGAGAGTCCAAGCATCACACTACAGTCCTATCATCAAAGGTATTTGAAAATCAATTCACTCTCTTACAACAATTAAGCCTTAAGAATCTCAACTTTAAATTGAAAAAACATCATTTTGTTTTAATCACACTTATTTACAGAACAAGTAACTGCAAACAGCATAGAGACTACTCTAAAGTAAGTATTTCTAGAGAATCAAGGACATTCTTTGATTCTTGATTCTCCTTTACTCCCAGATTCCTTCCTATTCATCTGCCTAACATTCATTCAGTTCTACTAAATACAATTTCTATTTCACCTGTATCATATTATTTACCACTATATTACACTGATACTTGTAAGGCATCCTCCCATTTTAAAACAACAGATTAATCAGTGTTCTGAAGTTCAACTGCTTTCTTTACTCAATGGTTAAAGGAGACAGATCGTAAGGTGTAAACAGAAGAAATACTGAGGAGAGCTCAGAGCAAGAACCACTCAGAACAAAGTCTATGAGGTAAGCAACAAGGAATCAGACTTTGAGTCTGAATGACTAACATGGTTTTGCACAGCAAATCACTCAAAGATAACTTACAGATAACAAATACACTTTGAAAAGTTTATTTTTAAAAAAATTCATCAGTAATCAAAACATATACTTACATATATCCACAAAACGTGGCCAAGAAAAATTAATGATCCAACAATATTAATCCAAACTCTGGTATCTATCTACAAACATTCAACTGTTAAACTTGTTAAGCACTACACCAAGGGCCAGTTACGATTTCATGAAACTTGGGGAGGGAGTGAGAACAGAATTAAGGAAAGTATTCCCCGTACTACTGGAGTATCTTTCAGTCACTGCTCCTTGGTCTTCACTTCCTTTATATTATCCTAAATGTCTACCGATGGTTTACACAAGAAAGCAGCATTAAAATTTTAAAAAAAAATTTAAAATTCCTTTAACTAGAGATCTTTGGCTAGATCTTTCTAGTTAGAATAGGGCCATTACTATAATCTCCCTGCATCTAAACGCTAAGTAGTAAATATTTAACAAAACAGGGAGTCTAGCAACCAAAATGTAGCTGATGTTATTCTGATAAAGTAACCCAAGTATTAGAAAAATTTCATAACATCAAACACACCTATCATGTCTGTATTCCAATATATTTTGATGGTACAAGTAAACACTCAACAATTTTTTTCATAAACATTTGAACTACTGCTAAATAACAAAGGCAAGTTCACATCCAAATACTACAGATCCTGACTTACCAAATCAAAACTATTCCTCAGAATTTATCTTTCGCATCATCAAAACTGAACCATGTGACACATGAATGAATCTCGAAGTCATATTACTAAGGATGACAAATAAGTTAACCTTGCCTAAGAGACTCAGTGTCACTTTATTTAATCTATCAAATCAAGTCAGGATAAAATACATTTCCAGATGTGCAATGAAGTCAGCATTTTGAATTTTGTTTAAATCAGCAAAACGAACTATTTTTTTGAGAAAGATGTCAACATCAGGATGCTCAGGATTTCAGTCAGATTAAAAAGCTTCCATGAACAGCAGGCTCAACCTTTACTCATGTGCATTCACAGTTCTTCACTCTTACTTTTGAATCATGGTCTGCCATTCTCCCTCCCGATCTCCAATAGGAAACCGGTCTATCTGGGCCTGGATTTTGGTTCTCCATTCTCGCATGTAGTCTTCTATGTCAAACACAAAAGGATGCTGCCCAAAATTGGCGTCAACCACTTCTCCTGGTGTCTGAAGCCCCACGGTAGGATATAAATTTGGCTGTAACATAACATATGCCATGTCAACATCTATCCATTTTATATTAAAGACAATTTATTCTTAATGTTATTTTTCAAACAACAGGGTCACAAATTTAGATATCCTAATCAAACTATTACTACTAGAGGAAGAATTTTTTAAACTACATAAAATAATAATGTTAAATGAAAAAATACTTCTTGTAGTCTACCCAAGGAAAAAAACCCAAAACAACTAAGTAACTTAATGTATTTATTCAGAGACCATGCTGTATCATTTAGTATTGTATATCAAATATATGAAGATGTCATTCATGCTCTTGAGAAGGCCATTTGGTTGCTACAAAGATTCCAAAATAAACATGTAACTACCTCAGTCTTCATGTAGAAAGTACAAACTGAACACTAAGGCTAGTTAGTTCCCATAAAAGTGCCAGCCCAGCTAGTCATGTAGTATCTTAAATCTATTTCTTTCATTTTACCTGTACATTTGGGAGGCCTGCCTTTACAAAGGAAAGCTGCTAAGAATTTAGCTTCACGTAGCACATGCTGCCACAGTGGGGGTTCTCCATATAAAAATAAAAACTCCAACGTTTATCTTTTGAGAAGAAAAGGGTAAACCTGAACATTCAAACTTAGAAGTACATTTAAGATTTCACAGCTAAACAATGAAACAGGTGGCAGCTTCAAATATACAAAATACAAAGGACTGTTCCTTCTGGGTTTATCACTAAGCAGTCATTGAACTTCAAGGGCAAGTGAGTTATCTAGTGTTACATAAATGCCAGGATTTAAGCGTTGTAATAATCCTGTGAAGCAGTTATTACTATCTCTATTACAAAGATACAGAAATTGAGAATTAAGAGTTAAATAATTTGCTCATGGTCACTCTATTAAGCCACAACAAGATTAGAACACAGGCTTATAATTTGACACTAAATGCAAGTTCAATTTTTATTCCTGTGGGGCAAAACCCACACATCTTCATTATGGGTATTCATGTCTTATTTCTTGGTTTTAATAGTTATGCCAAGAGTTTTCACAACACAAAACAAGGCAAAAATTAAAAAGGGGGTTATCTGTGTGAATATGACATTTAAACAGATTCACAGCAAGAACATTAACGAGGTATGTTTTAAAACAACAGTTCAACAAGCAACATAAATAAAAAAAAAGTCAAATACTGTGTCAAGATTATCATGAAATATAAAGTCCTATCAGATTATGGAAATAAAACAGTAAAGCAAAATAATACAATAGTACTGATTCTTAATAAGCTATAGAACAAGTTCAAAAAAATTTAAGCCAAAACCAGATGAGATTTCACCAATGAGAAAACAAACCATGATCTAAGGGCATACACTGTGTCCACGTTGCACAATTAAGAAAAAAGTTCAGATCTTACTACGTCCAGCACAGTAGCTTTCCATTAAAACTTATTACAAAATTAAAAGATATTTTAAAACAAAGTATATAAGCCAAAGATAATACATAGTGAAAGGAAATTCTTTTCAATGCAGAAAATAAAAATTACTAGTTCAAGCTCTTATGAATCTCAGTAGAAATGCAGATAATTCGCACAAGAAATCCAAAATGCCAATAAACAGAGACACTTAACCCTGATTTTCTACAATGCAAATTAAAACAAGATTTGTTTAGGGAGGGAGCATATCAGGTTAAAATTTAAAACTCTTGAGAATACTCAGTGTTGCTGAGTGTTGACAAAATAAACCATCACATGAACTACACACAGAAACGCGCACTGATAAATTTTTTAAAAAAGAAATTTAGAAAATCTTAAAATTGACAAAGAAGTTTTACTTACAAGACTTGGTTGCTATAGAAAAACATGTATGTATAAAAATGTGTATTCTGCAGTAAGGACAAAAGAAGGACAAAAAATGAGTAAGGACAAGAAAGCAAAGAAAGGAAGAAAAAGGGAAAGGGAAGGGAAGGAAAAGAAAAAAGAAAAGAGGAAAGAGGAAAGAGGAAAGGAAAGGAAAGGAAAGGAAAGGAAAGGAAAGGAAAGGAAAGGAAAGGAAAGGAAAGGAAAGGAAAGGAAAGGAAAGGAAAGGAAAGAGAAAAGAAAAGAAAAGAAAAGAAAAGAAAAGAAAAGAAAAGAAAAGAAAAGAAAAGAAAAGAAAAGAAAAGAAAAGAGAAATCCCAAGTGATACTATATGTCTTAGTTACTTTCTCCATACTAGGACATTCTGGGACATAACCACCTAACACCTACAACTTACAGGGTTTGTTTCTGGCTTTTAGAGGATTCAGTACAGTCAGCTGGATCCAAGGCAGAAAGGAGCTGGTGGAAGGGGCCAGGGGGAGGAAGCTGCGCACTGTGGCAGCCAGAAAGCAGTGTTAGAAGGGGGGAGCCAGAGAGGGGCACCCACTCTTCCAGGTCACACAGCCAGTGGCCAGCCTTTAAGCCAAGCCCCACCTCTCAACAGAGAGTCAGTTACTGGCCTCATCAGTGGATGAAACCCGTGCTCCAGTCACCTTCCCACAGCCCCGCCTGAGTACATGAGAGTTTTGAGGGACACTGTAAGCTACACCATACTATACCACATGCATGAAATCTAAGATTCTAGTAAGATACACTATTGCAAATTAAAATCAACAAAAGTTATGAATTCTAAAATGCGTTCCCAATTCTGAAATGCTGTAGTATGATCTGCTTTTCTTAAAATTGATGAATTATGTTAACAAATTTATAAAATATCACAAAGAACAGAACAAAAATATGTACACAGGCATAGAAAGATGTCCAATACTCATTACTAAATGAAGAAAGCAAGTTGTAGGCTAGTATGCACATGCTGACCCTTCTTGTTATGGACATACTGGCTTATACATATAGAAAAGTCTAGAAAAACACACATTCAAGTGAAAACAGCCATCTTACCTAAAGGGTCTGGGGCTACGAGATGCACATTCATGTATCTCCATATTTACCTTTATTTCTCAAATATTTAATAAGTATATGCTATATAAATAGTCCTATAATCAAAAAATGTTTAAAGGGATATAAAATATTAAGTCAGTTTGGCTTTCTGAGTGGCTTACATATACGAACGGTACACTATGTCACCCAGGCTAGCCACCAACCTGTAGGCACAAGCAGTCCTGCTGACTTGTCTCTCAAGCTGGTGGGATTACAGATCCGTGGTACCATGCGCACTTAGTAAATATAATTTTTATGAACATCACTTAGTCTAAGTGACTTTTTCCTACAAATATATTCTCCCAGGATTCAGTGTTTCAAGTAGCTAATGACAAACAACATATGAACACTTTCTTGGTGATTTCCTTAATATCAGGATAGAACTCATTTTTCCCTTTTTCTTCAACTACAAAGGGAAATGTATTGTGGAAATCTCGGAAGATTTTATCGTGAAAATGAAAAGGTTAAAAACACTATAAAAGAAAACCTGTAACAACCACTATTAATAACCACCCAGCTAGTCTTACAGCAAAAAAGTTGCCTATCTATCACTAATGGCTTAGTATCTACAGACTAGGGGAAATGGCATAGGTGGTGTTTCAAGGGTAGCACAAAAATAACTCATGTTTAAAAGTAATGAAATCTTTTGCAAATGATCACTCTGTTAACAAAAAATAAAAAAATCATAGTAACACGGCTCACTCTGGTAAACTAGTATGACACGCTTAGTGCCACAAAAGGGGAGAGATAATGGGAACTAAACCAGTTAAGCCAACTTCGAGTGAAGCCTAAGATCTTCTCGCAAAAGCCTCTGCACCAATTAGGGACCCATCGACCCAGGAGCTCCACCTACACTGTATACTCTGCTCAGGCATGAGTCACACAAATGCGTACCCAAACAGACCATGCTTCCACTACAGTACTTTTCTTCTCTCTGTACGACACTAACATTTCTGCTTGCTAGTGAATCAATATCAGCAAACAGCCTATTAAATGTAACTTAAAATGTTTTGCTTCTTCTGACCACTGGCTACTATGCCATTTAGACTTTAGGCATCATTTTAGCTGAAGTCCTCCAAAGCTGTCCTTTGCACTTCCCATTCTTAAATCCATCCCAAACAGCATCTCTCCATTACACTGACCTCCTTTCTGTTAGCCACAATGGTTAACTCACTCCTCATTTTAAATGATGGATCACTGGCATGTGATGCCTCTGAGCGCTCCAATCTTCACGGCTTTCTTCCCTTTGCTTTCAGGATCCATTTTTGGTCTTCTTTCCTAGCTCTCTGGAGGCTTCTTCTAAATTTCTTTGCTGGCTCCTTTTCTCTCAAATTTAGCATGTACCAGAACTCAATTCTTGGCCTAGTTCTCTTCTGTGCCTATGAACACCCGCCCTGTTGATCTCAAGCAGTTCTGTAACACCTAAACCCAACTGCCTCCAAATTTTTATCACGAGCCTAGGTAATTCTCTTGCATTCCAGTCTTGCATGTCTATGTCTAAATTAACTTGACTTTTAACTTTTGCAACACTGAATTACTGATCTTCCTCCTCAAAACTTGTTCTACCTAAGCCAGGCACAAGCATACACCTACAGTCCCAGCTCAGCAGGTTGACAGGAACCACTTGAGTCTACGAGTTTGGAGGTAACCTGGACAACACAGCAAGATTTCATTATTTGAAAAACAAAAACAAGTGGCTGGCACACGGCAGGACTGGGGGACAGCCGAATGACCCTGAGAGTCCCGCCATGAGCAAAGTGCCCTTGCTGACTTCAAGACAGACTTTCCAGAATGGGTCACATGGGTGATGAGCAGGCATGCAGCCCAGGGGACAGCCCGGCCCAGGCAGGGGACACGGGCAGGTGGGCTGGGCATAGGCAACGAGCCCTTCTAGCCAGCCCTGCCCAAGATCAAGCAGCAAGAACAGGGAGAGGTAACAGCTCTGGCTCCACACAGCAGAACAAGTCGTGGCCACACAGGGGAATAGCAGTGAGTCCTGGCCTCACTAGGCCAAGCATCCTAGTCCTCAAACACTCTGAACTCGATCCAATCTGGCTATGGTCAAGAGGGCACTCGCACTTGTAAGGCTTTTTCCAGCTGCACAGCCAGATGTGAAGATGGTGGGAACCACTAAAACTGCAGCGCCTTTGGGTCACCCATCAAGGCAACTCACCGCAGTTACTGGGGTGCCAGCCAAAGATGCAGGGAACAAACCATTTCACCACCAGCTACAGGAAAGAGGACTGTAGCATCCACTGCTGTTTCTTGCTGGCTACTAATGAGTGTTAATATGCTTTTGCTTGCTGAAACAAAACACAAAGGCTAGGGTGTGCAGCTCAAGGCCCTGGACTGGATCCCCAGTCCTACAGACACCAAAGGAACAAACAAAAAACTGCTCCACCTAGCTAAAGCTTTCCTTACATCTGTAAGTGATCACCTTTCCAGTCCCTGTTGTCTTTCATGTCTCCATGTCTTCCTCAGATACACCATCTTAAAGACAGACCCTCTTCTTCACATTTCCACATCTAATCCATTAGCAACTTTTCTTGGTTCTCAGCTGGACTTTTAAAAGAGTATTTACCTTCCACTTAAGCTCTAAGCTATGTAGAACACACTTTAGTATGAAACAAAACCCTAGTGGTGCGTTCTCTTCTAAAAGATGCATACTTGCTTCACCACTGCATATTACGTAATGCTGGGAGGTGAGCACCTTTCCTGTGCACACACCTAACCCTCCTTGGCTAAACAGTGTTAATCTAAATCTTTTCCATCCTGGCATTTTCTTAAACAAAATCACCTGTCCTTGGTTGTCTATTTTCTGCCTGAGCCTCCCATCATTTCTCAACTCATTTCTGAAATGAGAAGGCATCGCATAATCAATGGCACTGTGTGTCTGTCTCTACTACTACTCAAGCAGCTGCCAAGGAACCAGCATCACTGCCTGAACAGGGAGTGCTAAATGAGCTTGTAAAACTTCAGGACTTGTGTTTTTTGTTGTGTTTCCTATGAAACAGCTGCGTAACTATACCCTCTAAGATATTCATTCAACAAGCCACTCAAAACCATCTGAAAAATGAACACAGGAGTTCTAGTGTCCAAAAAAAAAACAAGGGCCAGGGATTTAGCCCAGCGGCATAAGCACCTGCCTGGCAAGCTCAAAGTCGCAAGTTCAATCCCAGGTACCAAAGAAAAACCCCAAACCTTTCATTATTACTACATCATCACATTCTAACAATAAGAAAATGACAGTATCAATGCAGTACAGTCACCAGATTGGAAAAGGATCCCACAGAAATAATGGAGAACTCTTAAGAAATGTTCCTGATGGTGAAGACGATGGTATCATGTAGAAAACCACACACATGAACTCTAGAATCAAACTGCTACTGCTGACAGTCACTTTTATCCCTCACATAAGCTTCTGCAAGAAGCTCTTCATAACCTCCTTACTCATGCCTTAGAATGACCATCAGAATGACCCTTCAACAACTGAAGTTTCATCTTGACAACTACAACCCTGTGATATCTGCTCCTCAAGTCATCTGAGTGACCTGCTGCAGCTGACCCCGTTATGGGCCCTGCTCATCCCGACTCACACGCGCTAGCTTCCCCACCCCTCAATGCCACACTTCCTGCTCTTCTTTACATGATCTGCCTTTCACTTCCACCTGCCTGGAACCCACTCACTCTCCGTGAGCACCTGGTTAGCTGCCTCCTTCCTTCAAAAAACTCTGCTCAGGCTGTACCTGGAGCAGAAGTGAGCACCTTGCACAACTCCCTGCCCTACCTTTGATGCTCCCATGCTCTGTTTTTCTCTTTCCAAAATACTTAGAGCCTTTTAAAATGTTAAATTTACTTCTGTCTACTATTTAGTCCCTAACTTCTCCTGCTTGACTGCTGTAAACTCCAAAAGAACAGAAAGCTGTATGACCCGTTTTGCCAAATGAGGTGTCTCAAGCTCAGAACCTTCAGCGTGTCGGGTAAATACATGGTCAGAACTGCTGAACAATCCTTTGCTGAAAAAGGCAAAGATACCAAAGAAACGAATTTCAAATGAATGTACAGCGACAAAGTAATGTGTATCTGGGCCTACGGGTGTAGCTTAGGGGTAGAACACGCGCTACGCAGGTTCCATCCCTGACTTTGTAAACAGCATGCATTTTATCAATTCTGGTTTGTTTGACTTTGTGCAGTAGAGTCAGTGTAACGTTGAGCTCAATTACGAAGTTCCATACCAAAAACATAGCAGAAAGGATCTCTATTCTACATGTGGCACTTCAATCTAGTACCAGTATGACTATGTTTAGTTTTTTTACAGTTTCTTTAATTGAAAATACAAAACTGCTTTTAAAAAATTGTGACTTACCGGTAGATCGGTGAAAGCAATACCTTAAAAAAAAAAAAAAAAAGAGCGGCATTAGAAGCTGTTTTTCAAAGACAAACTACAGTGACAAGCTGAATTTCTAACTTGGGAGCGAACGACAGAAGAAGAGAAAAATTTAAACTTTAATACAAGAGAATGGAACTAATTTTTCTCAGTGACATTAACACAGGCCTAGGTGACCACTGTGCCGCTCAAGAGATCGACTTTGCTGGTCACACGTGGGTTTTATTTCTGAGACGCTGCTGTTACCTCTAGGATTTCCAAAATGGTTCTAGATACAGCTTCAAAGCTACCTTAAGAAACATAAGAAAATAGTCACATTTGGTTTTTTTATTCTCAAACTACATTATCCAGCAGTCCAGATAATCACCTAGATTTTAAGTAACTACACACAGAAGGAAAAGGCAAGGTTTTATGTTACAAAAGGTGAATGAAACAAATTTTAGCACTTGTGTGTGTCTTAAAACTTCTGATTACTAAGAAAACCCTCCTTCAAAAACTAAAAACTGAAGACAACTGAGAATTTCTTTTAAACGCCCTTGATAGTAATTCCAACACAGTCTTGTTCCAATAAACTGTAGCAATGCAACCTCATTGGAATAATTTTACTGGCATCCAAGTTATTTCTTTTTTTAGTGGTAGTGAGTTTTTTACTTTTTCCCTTGGTCTTTTTGAAACAAGGTTCCATTATGTAGTTTGGGGTGGCCTTGAACTCACTTTGTAACCCAGGCTGGCCTCAAACTCCCAGCAATCCTCCTGCCTCAGCCTCCAAAGTAACAATCTCCTTTGATGTGTTCAAATATGTTACTTAGCGGAAAGTCAGAAGCCAAGTTCTTTTCTAGTATTTCACTGATATATTTAAAAAGATCACACACCAGGAGAGAACGATGGTGTCAGTCAGACAGCAACTCTCAGTTCTTCCCGTCTAAACACACATGAACAGACAACACAACACACCACGCCAGCGCCCACACCACCCCTCCACGGTCTTGAGCATCAGCTTAAAAGGGGGGGGGGGGCGTCATTTTTAGGGTCTCTTTTTACTTGACAAAAAACAGAAAACAAACACAAACTTTCTGACTCTTTTTAAAGTAATAAAAGTTAGAATGATCCAAACCCAAACTATTTGGAGCACCACAGTGATGCATTAAGTGTAAAACTTCCCAGGCGACCTCACGTGCCGAGCCAGGGCTGACATACGGGTACACTAAAACTACCACAAAGAACGTCCCCCAGCTCTGCGTATGTGAGGTGTACACGAAACCCGAGTGAAATCTGCATTTACACTGGGACTCATCTGCAAGGTATCTCATACTTATGCAAGCACTTCCCCCTAAAAATCCAAACTGAGACACAATTCTGGTCCCAAGCATTTTTGATAAAGGACACTCAACCTGTATGTATGTATTTTTAAAAATATGTAAAAATGTTTTGTAGTTAGTAAAGCCCTGACTTATGACTTTAAAACTAGTATATTTATGTCAATTTTTCAAAAAGAAAGCAAAGGTAGAGTTCTTTTTATTTTCATTCCATAGAAAATATTCTGACTGCATTTACTTTCATTTAAAGTAACTGAGAGCCAAATGTAAAATTTATCATAATTTTTAGAAAGTTAAAAAATGAAAAAAAATATTTTAAACAAAGTTACTATATGCAATTTTTACCATTTGATAATAGAGCCTAACCAATTACTTTTCTCAAAAATACCTGTAACAAAACTATCTGGATTTATTATTTTAGCAAAAATCCTCTTTGTTAGTAATTACCATCATTTTCACTCTTTGCCAAGAACTCCAGTAAAAGCCCTAATTAATCCCATATTTAACATTTTTAGATACTGCCAGGCATAACCTATGTGGTTCAGACCACAAAAAGATACCACATTAGCAAATTAGCATTAACTATTTAATTTTACACAGAAAAATAATTTTCTATTTTTTAAATTTCCTGATTTGTCAAGAAGCTATTTGAATGTGATCTTCAATTGATAAATAATATTCAATGAAGTATTAAAAACTCAAATTAAGCGCCGGGTGTGGTAGTTCACGCTTGTAATTCCAGCACTCGGGAGGCTGAGGCAGGAGGATTGTTGCAAGTTCGAGACCAGCCTGGGCTACAAAGTGAGCTCAAGGCCAGCCTGAACTGCATAGCAAGACCCCATCTCAAAAAAGACAAAAAAAAAAAAAAAAAAAAAAAAAAAAAAAAAAAAAAACCTCAAATTAAGTTAATGTTGTTTACACTGAATGACACTTGCACAAGACAGAAATTAAAGATGTGTTGTCCTGGGGTAGAAATTATCCCTGTCAGAATTACAAGAAACTGAAGAGGGGAGGCAAACCTTGCCTGTTAAAGGTCTGACAATATTCTGTGCTTTCCAGACCAGGTGGTGTTTGTGACCCCTACTCAGCTCTGCCCCTGCAACAGGAAACCTGCCACAGACAAGACATAAATGAATGGGTGCGCCTGGGTTCCAAGGAGTATTTTAAACCAGACAAGAGGCCTCTCTGGCTGTAGCTTAGAGAACCCTTGTCTAGAAGATAATTTCTGCACACCAGTATGTTATCACTGCATCCCTTACATCTGGCCTAGAGCCTAACAGAAATCCCAGAAACATCAGTGTGCCACCTCACTGTGTGCCACCTCTTCATGTGTCACTTCAGTTTATTGTGACCACCGTGATGTGTTAGGCATTGCCTTACTTTACAAATTTACAGCCCAGGGCAGAACACTGCCAGTTAACCAGCAGAAGGCCACAGTATAAAGCAGGAGTCAGTCCATGTGATTGAAGGATCATCAATGAATAGTACACTAGCTCTCGTGTGCTTACAATTCATTAAACTTAAAAATAACACCAAACATTTCCAATCTACAGCGGTCCCATGACTGACAGTATGATTCACAATTCTGGGGAAGACAACTGTCACCCAGGGCAGGTTGTGAACCAAAGCAAAATTCTGCTGAGCACTTTTGTTCTTAATACAAACTGTTCACACACAGAAACATTCGTCAACTGAGGTTTTACTATACCGAGAATTCAATTCTATCATTACGTGCCTCTTCTTAGAAAGCATCTTGTTTTTAAAATAGCTTTCATGTTCAACGGAAGCATTCAACTTAAATGGTTGTGGTAAAGTGATAGGAGGGAAAAAAATCAATTCTCATTTGATGTTCCCATCTCCCAAAATAAAATTTTCTTCTCTAGAAAGTTTAAAAAGTTAAGTGTTAAAATGACTAATTGTGTTTGGAAAAATACCTTGTTTTGCATATTTGAGCCAGCCATTAAGTCATACCTAAAACAGCAGGTTTCTCTCTTGGTTTAAGATCTTAAACACATAAGAGGCCAGGGATATAGTACAGCGGCATAAGCTCCTGCCTGGCAACTGCAAGGTCCTGAGGTCAATTCCCACTAACCATCCTTCTCCCCACAAAAGAAGATCTTAAAACTTCATGAGGCATTATTAACACTGGACTGATGAGAATCTAGGGATCTTTCGTAGAACTTAAGCTTTACAGCACAAAAGAATTATAGAATTAAAATAACCATAAGTAAAAATGTTAAGCTGAATATAAAGTTAATTTTATATAAACATTATGTTAAAACACTAAAAAAACCCCTCTAATGCAACCAAGGAATTTAGAACTTTCAACTATGAAAAGACAACTTTTGGGTTTGAAGAACGTGTACTACATACACAAACAGACTACTTGCAGGGTAACTGTTAAGATGCTATTCATAAGCAGAGCTTCTGCTTTCTGAAGTTAGTTTTTGCTTCCTCTCACTTCACCCCACTAGGAATAATTTGTTTTGAGTCAATGATTTTCCCAACAGTACAAATAATGTAACGTCTATTTTTCTAAAACATCTGTCTTCCTATTCTTTGCATTTTCTTTAATTCTAAAGGGTGGGGGGAGACCTCCTAAGGGAATGTAACAAGCACATACAATTTTAAATTTGAAGCACTAATGAGTTCAGGCATATTCAATACTGATTTCCTAGCAGTCTTTTAATATAGGGGTTTCTTAAAGTTTTCATGAACTATTAGCCACCTACATTTTATGCTTAAAAGTTTTGATATTACTTGAGTGTTTAATTCTGTGCCCTTCTGTGGAACTGTGTGATAGTCATCATCCTTTAGCAATCTTTGTAGGCGGGGGTCTATCTTTGAGCGTGTCCTGCCCCCTATTTACTAGAAGCACTGAGCTCTCCACCCCTTTGAAACAGTTCCTCATGGTATCTTAAGTGACAGCTCCTTTTTTGTATCACCTGTTACGTAAAGAATTGGATGTCCCTTGCCTCACTCTCAGACAGAAGCTTTCTTCTCATAATGAATATATTCTGCTTTAAAAAAAAGAACTGAGGGCTGGGGATTTAGCTCAGCAGCATAAGTGACTGCCTTGCAAGCATGTGGTCATGAGTTCAATCCCCGGTATCGAAAATTTAAAAAAAAAAAAAAAATGAATTGGGTGACAATGTGTACAGTTTTACTCAAGCAAAACGCTTACATTTCTATACCAGGATACAAACTTTACCATTTCCTCAACTTATGCCTGGAGAAAAGAAACCAAGTCCAGAACCATCTATCTATTAAGGAGAATCATCTAATAACCATGGATACCATTTCAGAAGTACATTAACCACAACATCTGATTATATTGCATGCAATGCATTATTTTTGTACCTAAACTATGTCCATTCTTGGTGTAAAAGCAGGTATTGTTGATAAGGTTAACACAACAGCCAATGACATCACCAGTTGTAAAAGTTGGTCCATAAGGTTGTCCAGTTCCAGAAGAACAAAATGAATGTCCATCATCCCCATGGTAACCATATGAATGTTTATCCCAACCTAAAGAGAAAAGTTCAGTACATTTACAATGAGAAGTAAGGCTCCTCATACTATACTTATTCACTAAGATCTTGAGCCAAAATAGTGCAACAGATTAACACAACAAAATTTACATTCTCAACAATTACACTACGAAATTATTTCTATATTATAATACTGTTTACAACATTAAGGAAAATAAAATCACCTTGCAGAACACTAAAACAAGTATTAAAGAGACATGCAGTAGCCAAAGATCTGTCTCCATGTATGCTTTTCTCTCTAATGTACTGAAGAGTTCGTGTTTTGAAGAAACAACATAGCCATATGCCAAGATTAATGTAAAATAGACACACCCTACAATTAATTAACATTAGCAAACAACAGCAGAAAACAAAAACCAAGAATTATCACTTTCTTCTGCTAAGTGGTATCAAGAAACAGTTCGGCACTGTAATCCATACCTCCCTGAGTTCACTTTTCACATTAACCTGTAGGTCCCACCATACACTGAGGATGGGCTAAAAATCAGGGTTGTGACAAGCAGCAGAGAACTAGTCACGTTAAAATATTTAATGCTGCTGACCTTGGAATTCATAACATGGATGATTAAAGATATGGAAACTCCAGGGCAGCAGGTTTAGCTAAGTGGCAGAGCACTCACATTGCCCACTGTGTGCAAGCCTCTAGATTTTCGATCCTCAACCTCACAAAAACAAAACACAAAAGTACTCCCAAAATACAAAGAATCAGTATTATTAACTGTTTAAGCTTCTTACTTGAAAACTTGAACCAGAAAGAGCTAGAAGTAAGATTGTAATACTAGAATTCGATTGCAAGTGTACCTGGTAGTCTATTCATGTTCACACCTTGAGCAGAAAGACCAATTCCCATGTAACTGTTGGAGGGGAAAAAAGGAAAAATGCAGTTTATTTTAGTCATGAATATGTTAATTATCAAACACTCAAATATTATCAGAACCAAGTCCAAATTGAAAGTGTTGGAGTTGTTACAAAAATGCTATTACAAGCTGGGCACAGTGGTGCATATCTGTAATCCCAAAACGGAGGAAGATCGACCTGACAAAACCCTGTCTCAAAAATAACACAAAGAGCTGGGGATGTAGGTCAGGAGGCTCTACCTTACCTTGATACTCAGTATGACAATAAAAAAAGTTACAATTTATTATGGAGCAACAAAGTATAATATTTATCAATATTAAAACCCATTCAAAGCAAACTTCTATAACTATCACTCATAAACACACCCAAAATATTAGCAATGCCTATGAGAGTCTTTTTTAAAGTCCTGCAACTTTTATCTATAAACATCTTTCTACCTTTTCTAACTAGCAATTTTTTACCAGTAATGTTTATAATGTCTAAAAAGCATATAGAGGAATTTTTGTATAAAAAAGGCTATGTTAAATAATACACAAATGGATTTCCAAAGAGACACTTGAAAGTGCAGACCACCACAAAAAGGGGACATGTATTAATACTTGACAAAAATGCCGTATCAAAATAACCTAAATTAGCTAATAAAATTACACTAATTACACTAAAAAAAATCTGTTTAGGATATGTACATAATGGTTCACAAAAATTTATCTAAATAAGAGACCCTTTATTTCTAATTTATAAAATTAAACTGGGCATGGCGGCACTCTCTCTAACGCCAGCATATTGAGAGGCTGAAGCAGAAACATCACATTTCAGCCCATTTGAGCCTGAGCAACTTAGGGACTTACTGAGTCCCTGACACTTAGGAAGGAAGGAAGGAAGGAAGGAAGGAAGGAAGCAGGCAGGCAGGCAGGCAGGCAGGCAGGCAGGCAGAGAGGGAAGAGGAAGAGAGAGAGAGGACTAGAGAGTAATTTTTGAAGGCACAAAGGTCCTTGGTTCAGTCTCCAGTACAGGATAAACAGGCAGACAGATGAAAGGAAGAAAAGAAACGGTGATTCCGGTATGCAATTAATTTTCAAAAGCTTGTAAAACTTAACAAACACGACAAAAGTTTAAAATGGGAGACTGTAACACAGGAGGTATGGATTGAAAAACTAAGAACAAACAGAATTTACTTTGTTAAAAAAAGTTTAAGTCGCCACAACTGGACCAAGATTTAAAATGGATCTGCTAAGACTCAGCCATCAGTCCCCATAAAATCTCCAGTGCAGTAAGAGAAGGAAATAAATATAACACACCTGTTTCCAAATCCAAAGAGAGCAAGTGAAACAATGAAGCCATGTCCACTGAAGACAAAGATGTCCAAAATATGCTGAACTGTGCTAAGTTTCACATAATAAACAAGCAGTGTAAACACTAAAGGGTAAAAACTGCCTTACTCTGTGGTTAGTGTGATTACATGCAAAGGAAACCACAGAACCTGGCAAAAGCTTTTAGAATTAATTTAGTATTTTGGCAAAGTGTCTGAATAGATGAATTTCTAGTAATAATGGCTAGAAAAAGGAAGTTTTATGTAAGACTATATGAGTTCTATTAACTACAGAAACCATAAAATATGAAATTCCCAAAGCTCAAAAACAATACAGTAAAAGCTGTAAGTAAATGGATACAGGAGGCATCTGGATAACTTGGTAACTGAAAAATGGCCATCTTTCTAAGAGGAGTATATACATGTGATACATTTCAGGACAAAGTCAAATCCAATTTATTAAATTGGGTTTCTTGGGGTTTTGTTTTGGTCTTTTGTTTTTGCTTTGATTTTCTTGAGATAGTCTCAACTATGTGGTGCAGACTGGCCTTGAACTTGTTTATATAGCCCAGGCTTACCTCAAACTTTGGCAGTCCTTCTGCCTCAGCCTCCAGAATGCTGGAATTACAGATATCCAGCACCATGTCTGTCTAAAGTGATTTTTAATGCTCATGTATTAAAATGCAGAACTACAAACAGTAAGATTTTTTGAAGACAGGGCTCACTGGGGCACCCAGGCTGGCCTTGAAATCATTATGAAGCCCACTCTAAGCTTGAATTTACAGCAATCTTCCTTCATCAGCCTACTGAGTGCTAGGGTTATAGTTGTGGGCCACATCTGTCTCTTGTAAGATAATTTTTGTAAGATATTTTTAAAAAGAAAAGTGACAGGATTTTCCCTACTGAATATTAAAATCCATAGTCAATTCACAAGAAAAATATTACTAATAAAAGCACCTACTGACTGACAAAACATAAAGAAATAACATTCAGATGTCTACTCAAGAAGGCTCATGAGTTTGTACTCTGCTGCAAGTATGACCTAAATGTAAGCACTGCCAAGACCTAAGGCACCACCAGGCCTTCTGTGGAGAACAGCCCCCAGCGCAAACCTGGGAGTAGGGGCGCCGCTGCTCGTCTCCAGAGCTCAGAGTGGAAGCCGGGCTCCTCTTCTGAGGCCAGGGTGTACCCCCTCTGGGGAAACATGAGTCACACTTACTACTTAGAGCTGACGTCTGAAAGGAGGCTAAGGGAACAGGGATGCCACCTACTACCTGATTGCTTCACACAATGGCCCAGGTCTAGCGAAAAGGAAAGAGAGAAAACTCCTGAGTAGGACTGTACAAGTTACTGAATGGATTAATGACTCACGCTACAATTTTTCCCCATCATCCTAAAGGACCTGGAAACTGTAATACAGAATTCCTTAGACTGGGGGCCAAGGAAGTAAAAATTATATATTGTAAGAAAGACAATAAACATGAGTACAAGTAACAAATTTTCCCAACCAAAATAAGACGGCAATGACAAAATTCTGAACTATGAAACTAACAAAATTAACAACCAGAATATAAGTTAATTCTGGATGGCACTGCTCAGTGGAGAGTATGATTCTTAAAAGAGATGAAAATAAATATAACTAGTACACATAAAACAAAAAGGAAACATAATCACTAAAAAATAAGGATAGCATAGCTACTTGCTACGATCATTTAACTAAAAATCATCCAGACTTGAAAAATATAAATTGAAACTACACAGTACACACTGAGGAACATAAAATTCACCCTTAAGGCATATTGAGAATATCAATAAATATAATCAAAAACGATTTCTCAGATAACTACCAAGATGGTGACCACAATGAAAGTCAGTATATATACGGACTCTAGAGCAGATACAGATTTTTAAGAAAAAATAAAAGAGATTAGGAAAATGATGGAAACCATAAACATCCAACACAAGAATGAAATAGAATCCATACAACAAATTCAGATAGACATCCAGAAGTTCCATTGAAAGAATGTGCAGCAGAACGAGCCAAAGCAAGGACAGAATATCAGCATATTTAGAAGACAAGAGTGCAATTAGCAATCATGAAAACAAAGATTTCTTTAAAAAAGCAAGGGACCACACACACACACACACACACACACACACACACACACCAAAAAAAATCAGTCCAACAGCTGCGAGCTAATACAAAGAAAAATAACATAAAATTGACTGGAGCCCAAGAAAAAAGCAGGAGATACCACAACGACATAAAAAAGCAGTTCATACAAGTAATGGCAAAAAACTTCCCAGGTAAGGAAAAAAAAAACTTGATAGATAAATGAAGCATACAGAACTCCAATAAGCCATGATTTTTAAAAAACTACTATAAAAATACATAAATTCAATACAAAAACAGAATATTATAAGCTGCTGGAAAAAAGAAACAAATCACATATAAAGGAAAGCCCATCAAAATCAGAGCTAAATTCTCAACACAAACTCTCAGGTCAAGGAGAACAAAACCATCTTTCAAAGTTGATAGAGAAATGAAATATTCCTGTGACAAAGAATACTTGAAATTCATGACCACCAAACCAGCACTCCAAAAGACTCTGAAGGACACGGTAGAAAAAGATATTGAGGACTACAACTCTACGTTACCAGAACCGAATGAATTCATCAGGCAAGGCAAACAATTAAACAGGGGTATTTTCCAAGAACAGGAAAATAACACAAGGATAAATCCTATCAATTATAACCATCAGTGTAAATGGTCATAATCCACCAATCAAAACAGACTGCCAGAAAAAAAATCCAACAATATGATGCATACACAAAACACATTTATTTCAAATAGAAATTCACAGACTTCAAGTCAAAGGATAAAAAACAATGCTATATGCAACAGGAACCTGGAAAAAAGCAATGGTAGCTATTCTACTTGCTGACAAAGAGAACTGCAAGCCAACCCTGATCACAAGTGACAAAGATCATCACTACATCCTTGTAAAGGGAACAAACCAAGAGGAAGAAAAAACAACCATAAACATATGTGTATCAAACACCAGCATATTTAACCATATAAAACAAAGATTAATGGACATGAAAAATCAAATAAGCATCAATAAAATTCCAATGAGGACTTCAATACCCCACTATCACAAATAGGTCATCTAGAGCAAAACAAATTAACAGAGAAATATAACAAATGAATCAAACTTTCAAATAAATGGACTTAGTAGATATCTAGTTTTCACACATCAGAATACACATTCGTCTCAGCAGCACATGGATGCTCTCCAAAACAAACCACATACATACTAGCTCATAGAACATGCTTAAATAAAAGCAAAGGAAATGAAATTATCTCATGGTTATTATCAGACCACGGTGCAATAAAATTAGAAATCAATGACAAAAACATGGAAATTAAATAACACTCCCAAATAACCAATGGGTAACAGATAAAATTAAGAAATTAGACAGTTTCTACACTTAACAATAATGCTGTACAACATACCAGAATTTATGAGACACAGTTAAATCAGTCCAGTGAGAGAAATTTATTGCAGTGAAATCCCTTATCAGAAAAAGAGCAACCCCAAGCTTCTAGAAAAAGATCAAGTCAAGCCCACAGCTCAACAAGGGAAGAAAAAATTATAAAGATCAAAGCAGAAATTAATGCAATAG